AGCGTGCGAGATGTCTGCTGGACGTGTTTCAGTCGGAAAGTTAACTGCATGTCGATTACCTTACTGGATGACTTGCACTGATTGAAGTCAGCCTGGGTCGCGTTTGAATGAAATTAAATGCGTCCGTTAGTAAGGATCACGAGTTAGCGTAACTCTTTTAATACTTGTTGGAGTTGTGTTTGGAGCATTTTCAAACAGATAAGTGGAGATTGTACCAACACTAATGTTTATTATATTTGTTTGTGATAAGTACAGAAATCTCTTGCTCGGTTCTCGGGTCTGGAGTCCTTAAGGGGAAACTCGGGCCTCAGCAATAAATACAGGAAAATGTATCATTTTATTCATAAAAACACTATCTATTATACAGTAGTATGTAAACATATACTACATATTGTAGCAATAATGCTGAGAACTATCTTGTTTTTAAGCTGTTGTTAGATTAAAATCCATGGCTATAAACACCAAAGATGAGATGAACTTTCAACTTGATTACATCACAAATCTGATCCTTATCGAAGGATTGCAAAGTAATGTCTCAGTGTGGAGTTGTATCTGCTGAAAAGAAGAGATATGATCCCTTACGTTTTTATCCACTTTTTGTTTCCCCGTACCTCAAGGGAAATCCCTGATGTCCTTTTTTCACTGCAGAATGGAACAGGCGGAATGTCAACAGAGGATATTGTTGCAGGCGGGAATGATCCGATCAGCGGGTGGGAGCAGCAGTGCTGCATCTCGTAATGGTTGGAAATCCCACGAGAACGAGGGGTCAGAAACATCCCCAAATGGTCCTGCTCCACTAATTGGTTGCACAGGTACCACCACATCTCATCATCGGCCCGAGTATATCCGTCTCACCTTGCCCCTCTGTTTCTCTGCAGGCCTTCTTGTTTACCGCCCACTGTGAATGTCAGGGACAGCCTCGGTTTATTATCTTAGCTAGTGACCATTGGTAGATTTGCTGTGCGGCGCCGTAGACTCACCGCTGACCCGTAGCGTGTGCTGGTTTGCAGCATAAAACTAGGAGGAGAGAGAAGTATGGCCCCGTGGCACGTTGAAAGGTCATGACCTTCAGTCCACAGGGAGCCAACTCTAACTCGCCTCACCGCCATTAAAAAGACCAACAACTTTTTAAAATGGATTTCATGGGTAGACGGCCGCTGTAGAACTGTCATGTTTCATCTTGAGCTAAAGTACACTTCAACAAGCTTTAAGTAGTTTGGTTTCAGCAGCAAATGCAATAATCTACATTTCCACCTCTGAGAAACCTTTGAAAAGAAAAATAGGAATGATGAAATTCATCTTTGAAAGTTTTGAAAGGGGAAATATAAACTCTCTTGTGAGAGACTAGAGTTTGAATCAAATTATTTGCTGTAAGTTTCATCCGTGTTTGATTCTCCCCCCCCCGTGTAGATTGGTGTCTTGTAAAGCACAAATTAAGCCCTCAAAGACTGATCCAAACCACTGTGAGCCAAACCACTGTGAGATTCTTTTGTTTTTTATTTGACACCTGAAGTGTAAAGACTGAGTGTGTTTCCATATGTCTCATTTAACAAAACCCCAAAAAAGGAAGCTTACTCGCCTCATGGAAAGACCACTTTGCCCCTCTGTTGTATGTGTTTGGTGTCACCAAATGTCTAAGAAATATAGTTCACATTTATGTCATATACAATTACAATATTCTTTTGAGTACTAAATGTGTTTCACCTGATTCAAAGTAAGTTTTAGTCCCAAATTGGTCATTTGAGTATTAGTCAACGGAAAACTGGTATTCTGGTAAGTCATTCATTTTTTGTTTGCTTGATTTTTTTTAAATGAAGTGCAACCAAAAAACATTTCAGTTCAAAACCTCCTACTCAATCTGATAAATGTAAGAGTCATAAAAATGCAAACATCATATGCCCACATGCTGATTTACAGAGGGCCAACCTGGATTTACATACAGTGTGTGGAGCTTGGAGGTTAACAGTGTGTGAGGTGGTGGTGGTGTGGTCGGTCGACCCAAACGCACACGCACAGCACTTCTAATTCAGCCAGTTGATTTTATTTCCCAACCAACCAGGGAAGAGAACAAAACAAAACAAAAACAGACAAACGAGGCAAATGGTCAAAAGGGAACAGAAGGCGTCGGGAGGGAAACTCCACCGATGTCTCGCGGTCGGCGGGTCGGAGCACTGTTCCGCTGTGGAAGCCCGAGGTCCGACAAAAACAACAAAACATAAGCACAAACAGGGGGAAATAACAGGGGAGCAGACAGGGGCCTTAACACGGTGTTCTACAATAAACTAATCACGAAAGAATATAGTGATGTTGCACATCAACATCAGGACTGAATGAGCAAATATCACAACTCACATGACGGGAATTGGACAACGTAGCTAGTGGAATCATTCCAGAGCAGCGTGGTGCTCACTGCACCGCACACATCTCATTCTTCTGCATAGGATTTATTCACATACCTTTTCATTTAAAGCAACTTCTTCTTTTCTTTTGTTTAATGAGCTAAGACAGGTGCGCTAGACAGGACTAAGACATCGGGGGAAATGAAAACCAACGCTTTTACAAGTAGGTGGAAAGGGAGAAAGTTCAATCAGGAGAGACTTGGTCCGAATTGAGCAACAACGGAGAGAACCCCCTTAAAAGGTTTGACAGCCACTATATGATTGGTTTAGAGACACAGCGCCGCCTCTGGTTGGTTGTATACACCTGGAAGCAGCCAATGTCAGTCGATAGCATAATGCTGGGAGACCAGCTGGGTCCTACATAAATTGGGCTGGCATAGAGGGAGTCTTCCTCCCTTGCACTACCGCTTAAGCTCCATTATGAAACCGGATGTTAATCCATTAATTGTGACTGTGTCCCTGGGACAGTAGTTAAGTGTCTGTCACAGAGATTAAATGACTCCACCAAACAGATATATGGTGGTTCAAAAACACAACAAAGTCTGCATTACAGGCTGCTATCATTGTTTAACTGTTGTTCTAAATGACCCGATGAATTATGTGTAGTATTCATGTCCAATCAATATGTACTTTGGATTTAGTGACAATGTAAAATCTTGAATATGTGGTTTTGACGAGGATCTGTACGTCAGTGTTGGTAGAAGATATAGTGATAACTGGATGGGGAATTTATCGGTTTCCTTCGGAGTTTCTGCTGAATATTTAACAGCTGTGATTGTGGTTTGTTTTTCTTTTTGCCTGTTGAAGTTGATTTAGGAGAAAACTACCATGATTCATTATTATTGAGGGTGATACCTTTTCGGTGATAAACTCTTTATATTACTTGGAACTGAATTATTTAGCTAGACAGTAACTGCATGCGATCAATTTGCCCATTCCTAAAAAGGAAACTATTTTTATGGTTTTGCTCGCAGCCAAACATTGTACGCCATCCAAGAATGAAAACATTTGATTTGCCCCCCACCACAGGAGCTACAACACAATACAATCAAAATGGAAATGGTAATTTACTGTGATATCACAACAAAATCTTTAGATGCATTTTTTGAAAATCTTTTCAGTCCTAATTTTAATAATTAATTGCTTAATTCATTCACTTTATTTTAATGTTTATTTTGTTTGAATTTTTGTTGTGACAACTCTCCACAAATAAGCAAACTCCTAAAAAGTCCACATTGTAATTCACAAAACCAGTCTAACATCAGCTGCAACCTGATGCACAACCCAAATGTTTTTTTTAAATGCACAATTAGCATGAAGAGATATATATATATATATCTCATCATCTTCTATGCAATTCCTCAATCAGTATTGCAGATTTTCCCAGTGGTCACCGTTTATCAAAGTGTTTGGGAAACTATGAAGCATACTTTGTGACAGTTTAGAGGTTTTAAAATTTAAGATCTCATTGAACTGATGGATGGAGGGAGGAGAGGCTGAGGCTGCCCCCCCGGCATCATATGTCACCATCCGAAGTGATGAGGGACGCTGCTGTGTGACACCCACCCAAAGACTCCAGTGGGGCGCCTGTCTGCGAGAGAATTTATTTTATTTAGATAAAATGTCAATGTGTATCAACTCTGTTGCACTGCATAAAGGTTAAGACCAATGTTTGCCCCCTGCTAACACTAGATCCTTGCCCTAACAGCACAGCACTAGAATAAATGCTGCCATGGCCCATCATTGCCAATATCTCCAAACAGACAGATGGCCTTCAAGGACTGATTGTATGATGGAATAATTGTATGATACAGTTTGACATTCATAAGTGAATTCCAAAGAGCCCGTCAATTTCAATTTAGGAGTAGAATATTAAACAGGATGAATAGCAAACTTGCTGTACATGTGTTAAGAAGTTTAAACTGACATTTTTAAATAGAAACCCCACGTGCTCAAGTGCACCAAACGATTTCCCCTTGTGAGGCTGATGATTGAATTTGCAACGGTGTGACTAGTGCGTATTCTTTTATCTGACAAAGTGTCATATTTTCAGTGCACATTAACATCAAGCTCAACTGGTGCCACAAGGTGACATCGATGGGGAACTGTGTCCACCATATCAATAATGCAGTGTGTTATTATATTATTTGCCTGGGCCTATGAAAATGTAATTAATACATGGAAATCGGGCTACTGGCTAGATACTGTACACCTTTATGTCACTGGAGCTTTACATCAGTCTTTGTGTTTGTGTACGCTGATTCTGACCTTTGTATCCATCTGGTGCCGAAGACACAGTTTTATGTTTCCAACCCAACAGCAGGCTGAAACATGCTTTTAGTTATATTTTTGATTATGTTTGTCAAAACCCATAGCACTCATGGATATAGGAGGGAAAGAGAGATGGAGATGCATCTATGTCTGTTGGTAAAGGGGAAAGCAGCACAACACGCTGTCAGCTGTTCTCAAAATAATGCTCAATAGCAACATGGAATTATCCAACCTTGGCAATCACAGGGTACGCACGCCAAAACCCATCAACCATTTACATCTACTAACACATTCATGTTGCTAACAGGTCGACCTTTTATTCCTCCACAGTTGTACAGCTCGGTGGACTTTGGTAGGAAATGGCAGATCATCCACGAACGCGTCACACCAAACCGATTCTACTGGTGAGTCGTCCCTGTTCGCCTATTTTCACATTTCCTCCCCCTGTGCTCTGCTCCTCTTCTCTTTTTCCTTTCTTTTGTTTGTTTGGAATGCAGAAACCGTTTTTTGCGTTCGGCGTGACTGAGCAGGCGATATTGACGGCTTAGAACAACGTATGACTGGTGACTCCTCGTCTCTTCCTCGATGTAAACGAGCAGAGATGAGTTTTTCCCTTCAGAACGCACTTAGCATTCAGCGTCCGAGGGCATGTCACATTGCACTTTATTTCTCAAATAGGTCCTGCTCATATCAGGCATCTTTCACATGAGTTTTATTTTGTTTTATTATTAACAATAGAAGCACTGGTTTTTCTACTGATGCACACAGATACAAAACCCCATGCACAGTTTGAGAAGCTGTGACTAATAATGGATCCGGGGCGCCGCTGTCACTTCTCATCCAGTCACGTCTGCTGCTCACTCCCCCTGCAGTGTACCGACTACGAATGAAGTGCACACTCATCACAAACAGCTCAGCGCTCCGCTCGCTCCCTCCGAGGTGACGGGGCTGTGCCTGAGATTGCCGGTGGCTGTATTCACTCTTACTTGCATGAACCTGGAGCTAGTTCCGTTCAATCATGGTCTAATCCTAAATATGTGCAATCTCATACTGGCTCTGCCCTTCGCCGTCAAAGCCCTTTTAAAGGACATCTAAACGGAGGAAGGGCCTCTGGCAATGGCAAGAGAGGCCTCCAGTTGGCTGCATTCCGATAATGGCTTCATCAGTTTTTAAGGGATATTCAACATTGCAACATGCAGTCGCATCCATAAGTAATGAAATGTGTAGGATTTTACTGAAAGAGACACTCATAGGCTGCTGGATGATGAGGGAACTGTACATGTCTGCATTGTAACATGTTGGCTGGCTGTGGATGTGCATGCCATAATATGGCATTTAGAATAGGGGGACGTTCCAGAAATCTCCATTCTGCACAACAAGCGCACGTATAACAGAACAACAGTGTGTTTCCTCTTCCACCTTTCTCTCCTCTGAAAACACCAGTAGTTCGTATTCATCATTCCTTTTCTATTCATTGCCGTTGTGCTTATGTATTCTTCCACCGTCTTTCATTTTTTCCAAGGTCTGTCTCCGGCCTCGACAAGGAGCCAGATCTGGTCCACATGGAGGCTCACACACCAGATGGAAGTGAGCGTCTCCGACACACACACACACACACACACACACACACACACACACACACACACACACACACACACACACACACATCAAAGACAAGTAATGATCAGGTCTCTGTTGAAAAGAATCGCCTCTGGGAAGAAGAAGGCATCGCCGGAGTAACAAACCCGGTGCATGATGTCTGATTAATATTGCCGTTCTTCTCTTCCCTTTCACTTGCTAAATGTCAGCCCTCTATCTCTGAAGGGCAGTACCACCAAGTTCCTCCAGAGGGTACATACTGTGGGCCAAACTGTTTGTGCATGCCTGTTATGTCGGAGAAGCGGCCCTTTTTTTTATCATATGACCGAGGCGTGATTGACAGGCCGAGATGCTTGTTTTCGGTATCTACACATGATAAGAATACATCTGGTGTTATAGTAGCAAATTAGTCAGAGAAAATGTCAACCCTTGACTGATACATCACAGATACATCACAACACAAATAAATAACTTCACAGCACAATATCATTTATCTAAAGCCTGTAATTTAGTCTAGATCAACATATTAAGCTCCACTATGGAAAAAGACAGTAATCATAAAAAGAGCTTTTCTGTTTGTCTTCCAATGTGACAGATGTGCAGTATGTCACATGCCGAGCCCAGATGTGCACAGATGTTAACAGGAACTACCCATTCCCCGGATACATCGATATTAGCTCTTTGGTGGTTCAAGATGACTACATATTCATACAGGTATGAATCTAAACACTCCCTTTCCACCGGCTACATAATGGATGATGGTTTGGAGACATTGCCAACCTTTAGTAAAACGTAAAGATCTTCCAATAGTACATGTAGGAAAAGCAATTAAAATGCAACATCTGTGTGTCGCAAGTACTGTAGAGGTCTGTGCAACTATCTAACATCATAGTCTCATATCAGCCATTGGCTCATCTGTGCTCTTAGGGTGGCATCTTTTCTATTAGTTCACCCAGACACGTTCAATCTGAGCTCAGGCACAAATACAAACCAAGAAATTGTGTTTATTGCTAATGTAAAGATTTATTATTGGATCATATTGTTGCAAAAAAATCAAAGTGATATGTTTTCAATGCAAAAATTCACACTCATATAAATGCTTGGCGCAAAGTGAATATGTAAGACTCATTTTACATTAAGCTCAACAATTTGGCTTTCCTTTGCTGAGAAGCCAGTCTATTTTTAACATTCAGCTCAGCATCTGCTCGGTGTGTCATATTAATCATGTTAATCATTTATGTGACAGAAATATCTGAAAGGGTAATGTCTTAAATTTCAAGTAACACAAATGCAATTCATGTGTATTTTAATTCTCTCTACAGCGTGGGTATTAATTACTTTGACATTGTGCTAATGAGGTGTCATGCATTTAAAATGCTCTTCCAACAATTGTTGTGGTGCTTTTCATCTCATATGTATGCATATATATGTGCACTGTACATATGTATTTATTTATAGATAGATAGATATGGGGTGGGCCTAAGATTGCTGCTGCTCTAACAGAAAACTGGAGAAAGGTGGCAAAAATGTTTTTTTTACATCTCTCTCAGAAGGCGGAGTTGATAGAATGAAAGTTTTTAATAACCTGCATCACCAAAAGTTTTTTCTTTTTCTTTACTGAGATTCTCCAAAGGAAATCCAGTACAAACAAGGAGTCCTAGACTAAAAAGTCCCTCCACGGTGCTGGACCGCTTCACTCTAACAGGGACACATGCTACTGAACATATATTATTGATAGGTAATTAGATCATAGATCACATGTTTATGCTAGTACCTGTCTAGAACAAATTCATAAATGTTGACGTGCCTGTTATAATGTTATAATTGCAGAGGGTAACTTGTCTCTCTATAGCAAAGTAGATAACACATTAAGACCCTGGCGAAGAGGTTTGGTGGATTAGATTACATACATTTCTATTTTTTTAATTTACTTAACTAGGACATATTATGAAAAGTCCACTCTTTTAGTTCATCTACACGTTAATTTGGGTTTCTGGCATGTCTACCGACCCAAAAACAACGCGATTTGTTATGGTTCCTGTACGTCAGAAACGTCATACTTGAGTGACTGCGTATGAGCTTCCTTATCATTCTCTCATCACAATGAAATGGGAGTCTCTCTTACATGGCCTTGGCCTACCCCCCCTACACTAACTATAGTTTTTGCAAACCTCGGATACACTTAGAATAGCTAGCTAGCAGCATGAAGCAAATTCACCCTCAAGATGCTGTGGTCGGCTGCACAGATCTGCACTAGGGACCATATCATAATACGGACGGGGGGGGCACGGACAATACGGCCGACGGGGGGGCGGCGCAGCTCTTTAGTCCCAGCGTAACTCGAAAAAGGGGGACAAATACGCGTCCGACTTGATGCTGTAGTTTAACTGCTACTGCTAAGGGAATGTTATTACCGTAGGAAGGAAACACAAAAATAATGTTTTTGGAATTTGACAATATTAATTCACTTCAATAAATCTATGTTTTGAATATGGAGGTATGTTTTTGTTAAAATTATATTTTAAATACATTTACATATCATCTTGCTTAGTGTCATAACACATTGAGAGCCTTGTGTGACATGTACAGCAGACACAGCGCCTCTAGGTTGTACTCTACTAGTGGTTGTAATCATCCAGCTGCACTAAATGTTTCATTGTGTCAAGAACAGGGATTCCTAAGTAGACGACTTATCTGCTCCAAAAACAGGCTGGTCCCATTACCAGCCATGGCAGCACATCAGACACGAGATAGAGTAGTTCTTCCAAAGATGCTTCAATCCTGTTTGTCCCCTGCTTGACCTCTCAAACGTCTTTCAAGTAAACTCTCAAGCACTCAACCAAAACCTCCCCTTCAATTTTAGCACACCCACTTTTTAACACATACGAAGGTTCCTGAAAGGGATGGGGAAAGAAATCAATCAAACCAATTCCTCTTAAAGTTCAAACCACCTCTGGTTAGCCTGCCAATCGATCTCCTTCACTCCATTGCATGTGGGACTGTTCTGCACTGCTCACTGCTAGTTGGCTGTATTTGCTCTTCAAACCGGTTTTCTCTCTTCTGAGCACTTACATGATCGGTAAAAAGAACCAACCAGTCATAATCATTAACACTGATATCGTGTCGCTTCAGCAGAGAGCCACACGTTGATTCTGAAGATTCCTGAATGACTTATTGGTAGAAGGCCAAAGTGTGTTACAGGGCTTCAGTCTCTCTACGTATGTGTATGTGGATGCACAGGATTGCACACAAGTGCTCCGCTTCGGGGGCCTCCAGGCTAATGTCATCCACTGGCCGCGTGTCGTCCTGCCTCATAAGCTAACAACTAACAGCTCAGTGTGTTTGCAAAAAGTCTAAACCATTGTCGACGACTTCTTTTTCTATTAGCCCGTTGATGCGACTTGATAAGGCAACTTAAAGATTCTCTTGACAAAGAATAATGAGACTATTGATTGTCCCAGGAGATATTTAACAATGCCCAATTTGAAACCACCAGGGCTATTGACACCTGCAGGGGCAGCATCCTTTGAATCACTATGTGCATCCGGCAGCACCTCGAAAACCAGCAGCACAAAGAGCGACGTGTGCTTTGACCCTCCGCTTTAATTGATTGGAGAAAATGTGAAAGTGTATCGGTTACTTTGTTCATGCGCATAGCTCCATCACTGCCATGAGAGACAATTGGTGAGAGAGTAAACAATTCTCACCTCCCACATCAAACCACTTGGTCAGTGATCGGGGTCGACTGATACCAACACAGGCACCCGTTCTTTGGTATGAGAAGAGATCACATCGCTTTCTGTGTCTCTAAAAGTAGCTAAGTACCTCAGAACCTAAAAACAATTTAAAACAATATTGGTAATTGATTTTGACAGCGTAGACACGTACGACCAATGACCACACGCCCGTATTTAAGAAAGTTGTGAGTGAGAACTTGTTAAAAAGATGATGTTAAAATCCTGTTTGTAATATACAACGTATTAAATGAATTGTACTTTCATATTGTTGTAGGTTCCTACATCGGGACGAGCATCTTATTATGTATCCTACAAGAGGGACTCGTTTATACAGATTAAACTGCCCAAATATTCCCTGCCTAAGGTAAGTTGCAGCATTTTTTGTTTAAGTATCAGAATTAATTTAAGTCAATTAATTACCCTGTTCCTATTATTGAGATCTTTTGGATTTGTAGCCGTCACAATGGGGAAATTGGCAGACATGTTCCTTCAAAGTCCTACTCCTAGTCTTGGACCCACACTGAGAGGCAGCCTCAATACATTACTGGATATCGGCAACCATTTCTATTCACACCTGAGCATTGATCTCATGACCGGTCCCACGAGGTCAGCTTGTTCTAAAGCGTCACCTCTCCTCTTCCACTCAAACCCCTGTTAATCTCTCCCCGCTTCCTGATAGGACCTGCACATCGTCAGCACCGATGAGAAGCAGGTATTCGCAGCGGTGCAGGAGTGGAACCAGAACGACACCTATAACCTCTACTTGTCTGATACAAGAGGGATCTACTTCACCTTGGCCATGGAAAATGTCAAGACCACTAGGGGCATCGGAGGGAACCAGATGCTGGATCTGTACGAGGTAGGCACCTGATGAAACTGTGCAGCCTCGGGCGAGTACGTGCAATGAGTTTTTCATCGATTGAAATCAAGCTACAGGGACGATTGCTTTCTCGTTGCTTCTTAAGACCAGCCATAATGTGCAAGCACATGCATCCAGCAACACACAATTGTGTGGAAACAGTTTTTTTTTCTGATTGCTTCAGTTTAAATGTGGATTTGATTTCCAGCTTTAATTCGTGATTCCATAAAAGGGCCTAAATACAACACTTGTGAGCCAAACAATCTCTCTGTTGCCTGTGATCTTTCCTAGAGGACATTCTTCATAAGAACAATTATTGCCTCCTTATATTAAAGGTGGGGTTGCTGTAAAGCTCCTGGTCGGACCACGAGCAACCTTCACCACGGGCCGTCCCAAGTTGGCCTACCTCAGAGGACCAGTTATTGTCCCATGACGGGATCCTCGCTAAGCCTTACTCTGCCGAATCGCTGGGCAGACGGACACAGCCCACCCAACCAGAAGTGTAAAAATGCCAGCCAATCACAATAATTCACAAAGGAAAAAAACACGTTGACCAAATATTTAGACACAAGTTCTCCGCCTGAGACCAAAGATATTTCAGGGCCATTGTTGGTCGAAGTGTGAGATCTGTAACGCCACACAGTGTGTGAGAGCAGTGCACGAACCCTGCCTTGCTGAACTCGATGAAGACTGTCATTGCTAACAACTGCTTCTCCGTAATTGTAGACAGGAACAACTGGGGGTTGCCAAATGCTCCACTGGGTCCACTCGGTGGTTGTTGACGTTGTCGGTCGAGGTAGTGCACCGTCTCCTCACATGAAGGAAGGGATCAGGGTAACACAGGGTGATCTGTGCACGTTTACCTTTGTGTATTTTTTACACAATCTTGTCTGACGCACAGGATTGCATTCTAGGCCGCCGTCGTCCATCTTCCAGACAGCAGACATATGACGCTTACTGCCATGGACCACTGGAGTTTAATGACCTCGTTAGCTTACTGACTAGCCACTGTATGTGTTTGTTCCCTCCTTCACCACCCACCAGTGCACCTAGTGTATCAGTCCGTTGCTCACAGGTGTGACTGAGGGAGTGAAAGAAGGGAGACATTGGCCAGCAGCAGTGTGGTAATTAATAATGCCTGACCTCTCCTGCACAGGGTGTGCGTGAGCAGCTTCCCTCACCATGCAGCAGTAAAGGCCGCTCAGTGCAGCACCAAATGAGGCGACAATTTCATCATATTTGTCACACGGTCACAGATTTGTTCTTGATGAAAACCTAAACAAGAGCTAGATGACACGCTGCAGTCCGACCCTCTATACAGAGTAAGATGTATGATACTGAACTCATTCCATTTATTACTGTTAGACAAACTGCACCTCACAGACCTAATGTTCCACAAAGGAGACAGCAAAGTAGTTGGAAGTTGTTTTGTTCTTCCACTTAGACGCCGTGTCTCCTGCCGGAGGGCCCCTCTGCATCCTCCCGCTGAAATAAATGATGCTATTTCCAGAGAGAGAATCGCGCAATCATCTCCTGAATTGGAGGAATTATTAAGTCGTCAATCAGATTGGATAAGGGCACATTCTGTAATCACGGGCCTTTGTTTTGCAAACCAATTATCTGTGGAGGGTCTACTTCAACCTCTAACGTTCCTTTCAATCTGAGAGGTACTTAAGCAGGTGGCTCTCCCCTCACTCGTCCCTCTGATTGGTTTGGGTTTACGCCATCAAAAATCCTCAATATTTCTTTTGCGAGTCACTAGAAACGGCTATGAATGATTGATTGACCACATGAAGTGGTTTGTAGTCTTTCAAGAGTATTAAATGATCATCATTTTAATACTTACCATTATCTGGGACATTTTTGTCTTTCCTCACTTCTAAAACCTACAATGCTGCGACAGGGTAACAAATGAGCCATGAAATATATTGTAAAATGCTAAATTGCTTCATCTAAGTTACTGGCTGATTGACCTATGTTTAATAAAAGTCACCACCTTACTGAGTAGGAGAGTTTTCCAATTGGCTGCCATTCTTTTGATATATTGAACATTTGGCCCAATGGCCTTTCTCTTCAAATGTGATCATTTCAGTTTTATGAAAATCAGTAACTCTGAAAAGAAAAGCGACTTACTACCGCAGCAGCAACAAGCCAGTGAATGCAGCACTTTTCAAATCGCTTAGTTTTTAAAGTGAGCATGCAGTAGCTTTCTGCAGGATCCCAGTTCCACGCCAAATCAATCAATATTTAAGTTTCAGCAATTGATTGAAAAGAATGTGTTCTTTGGTACTGACCAGTGAACAGAGATTGATCACTGTGCTGTGTAGTTCCCTCCAGCACAACAGCCCTTTTCTAGCTTCTTTTAGCATCATTTAGCACATTGTTTTGGTCTGACGCAGCAGCTCAGAAGAGCTGACCGTATGCGGCCGCTCATCATACAGACATACGAACATAGCGGCTGACCTGAAAACAAACTGTGGATCCAGATAATTCCTTTGAGAGTAAATATTGGACTTATTTCCCAAGAACACAAATAAAACTCCAATGCTAATGCAACTGTATGAGTGGATTAAAATATCAATCAGCAGTTTGTTACACTTTATTATCGCTCAGATTACTAACTTGTATAAACTGTGAGTATGCCTGAATGATACCAAATGATTTAGAAACCTTTCCTCGGAAGTTGTTTCTGAAACCCATTGGGCAATCAGAGGACCGGCGGTTTAATCCCAGCTCTGCTGGCGGGCAGACTTAGCCCCAGTAGCTCTGACTAAACGTGAATGCTAGTCACTGATGTGCAGGTGGTTGTGTGTGTGGAAGCTCCTGGCATCAGTGTATGAATGGGTGTGAATGATGACATGTAGGGTAAAAGGGATTTGAGCGGTTGGCCACAACAACTTCATACAACCTTTGTTAAGTCATTGCTTTGTTTTAAGTTTGGAAAAAGTGGCCGCACAAAATAACCAATTAATTTAGTACACAGTGGAAATGAAGCAGATATTTCATTTTAAACATATTAGTTCTGACAATTGATTAAAGTGGTGGTCATTCATCAAACAAAGATCCCAAATATGCTCTGGTTCCGGATCTTTAAATTGATTTTCTATCGTTAAAAACGGATTAGCTTCGTGTTTTGCAAATTAAATGTTTCAGTCACGCTTCCAGGAACTTGTGATCAGCATTGAAAAAAGGAAAAGCTTCTGGAGCCCATGGTAGTCATTGGTGCTCCATAAGGGGGGAATAAATCATTTCAAAGAGGAAAACATGCTTTGAGGAGGATAGCATTAAATATTGAATTCCAGGCACTCCAGTGGAGGGTTATAAGTAAAACACGGCCTAAAGGTTTAACGCATGCGGAAGTACGCGTCGCTTCTGAAACCAAGAAATGCAAACAAAATGACAGGAGATAATTAAGAGTTAATTGTTGCTATTGTTTTTTCCATTTTATTGACTCTCAACTTCACAGATTCAAGAATAGAGTTCAGGGAGAAATCCCTGCTTTTTGATAATGGGATTCTGCAAAGTGCAGTGCAGCAGATAGAGATGCATGCTGGGACCGAGTTCAAGAGGTGTTGTCCTCTATGTTAAAACAGGCCTGGAAGAAACCATTAAAAATAATAAATGAAAGAGGTTGCACAGCTTACCACGTGTGTGGTCAAAGACCTGGCTCGTGCTTCTCTGATGGCAGCAGAGATTATTGAACATAGTTGTCTTTGGTCACATGCTGGGTGCATGTCCTCCCCTCTTTTCATCTCTACTCACCGGAATTCAGCAGGATTGCTTTGGAACATCATTACCGAGGTGCAGAATGGAGATCCATGCCTGTGTCCTTCACTTTGTTGTCTAGAATGTAGAGTGTGGGCTGTGGGAGTGACGGGTGGAGGGAAATGAATGCTGGTTGTGACGCGCGGTTCTTGTGTGTGCGCAGAGGTGTGTGTGTGTGTGGGTGCATGCGGATGTCATAGAGGGGGTGCAGTAAATAATTGACATGTTGGGTTGGATGACAGTGCAATGACCCTTGTTAGCCGCATCCATCCAGAGCGCCATGCTTCTATGACAATGTCAAATGGGCTGCCTATTAGTGCCACTTATACGGACGTGCTGCCTTCAGGGACGGACCTGAGCCCCTCACTATGGCAACCGTTCCAAGTGACTCGGTCCGCACCGATGCATATAGCGCGCTTTGGTTTGCTTAAGGAATAAGTCTCAAACCTGAGAGCCAACAAGGAGGATTTTGTAAGAGAGACGTGTGTATATTTGTGTGTACATGTGTGTTTGTGTGCGCGTTTGGGCTGTTTTGAAAAGACAAGGTGTCACCCTTCGGCGGCGATTATTTTTTTGCTGTCAGAATTACTGAGGTGTGTTAGGATATAATTACAGATAAAACTCAGCACAGAATAAAATAATGCAGGCGTCTCTGTTGATGTTGTCTGCCACACTGTCAGCTGCAGAGAAGAAGGATAAGCACACCATTTTCATTTAGCTCAGCTTGTACGCACAAAATGCCCCCTCTGATGCTAGCATCACATCTGCAGCAAGCAGTAATGGGAGAGGTTCACGTCATTTAGAGGCTACAAATGAGATTCACCCTGTTGTGTGTGTGTGTGTGTGTGTGTGTGTCCGTCAGGTCGCAGGAATTAAAGGCATGCTGATTGCTAACAAGAGGCGAGACAACCAGGTCAAGACCTACATGACCTACAATAAAGGCCGGGAGTGGAGGCTCCTGCAGGCTCCTCCCACTGACCTGGATGGCAACGACATCCATTGCATACTGGTAAGATCCTGCACATTTACTGTAGCTCAAAAGCCTTTCCTGTTGATCCGACAAAAATAAATAAATGCAGAATCTCCGTCAAAGCCAGCTGGGGGGAAAGTGGATCTCAAGTGTCAACGTAACACTGTTCAATTGTCCTTTTTTTAAATTCTTTATTGAACTTGATTCTTTTCTAGTGTTTTCCGCTGTGCAACTGAATGATTCCTTGTCAGTGTCATGTAGAACACTTTCCCAGCCTGTGCAGCCATTATATATAATCTGCTTGTAGTGCTGTCAAATCATAGCTATAAGCACAATAATCACCATCCTCTTAAGGGGAAGTGCTGAATATCTTCTTTTCTGTATCAACTTTAAAAATACTATCGTTTACCTGATTGATAGCTAATGTTGTAACATTTTTTAACAGCACAGGAGGTGGTGTACTGGTGTAGTAGTGCATCAGCTGAATGGTATGATGAGAGAAACATCAATCAATGGATCATGCAGTGGGGATTATTGGTTATAGATGTATACAATGGGTTTGTTTTTGTCAGTGATATTAACTCAGGCATATTTTACCAGTTTGTGGTTAAGCTCTTTGCTCTTTAGTCCATCATGGGGATTGTTCTTGTTTTCTACCACTGACCATCTTGAAGTGAGCTGCAGAAATCCATTGATTTTAACTATCCATCCAATCAGTTGTTGCCAAATAGAAAGATTCGTTTATAAATGATTTGTAATGCCTCTGGAACAAAACTAAAAAGTATTGTATTATCCATTGGCAAAGCCTTTAATAAAACTCATAAACCCTTCATGAAGGAAGCAGTTTGAAGAAAACAAGCGGATTTGAAAAAAAAAAAAAAAGAACTAAAAGAAGAGGTTCTATAAAAGATTAGTGCAGCCTTTCACTCCGACATACAGCAGCAAACCTTAATATGAGATGGTCTGTGTCTAAATGGTAAACAACGGATGATGTAGATCCGCCGCATGCGTCGACAAAGAGTCGTCGCTCATTAGAGAGCCTCCTTCCAACTAAAACTCACAGGGCGACTGTTGGGAGGAATCAGGTTGGAGACATTAGCACGACTCCGTGCTGTTTAAGAGATGATTTTGCGGCCGTGTGCTGTGATTCAGGTTCCCTGTGATTGTGCATTCATGTGACATTTTAATTACTGCCGTGGATTCCTTTTGATTACCCTGTTCAGTCCCGCTGCCCTTGATGTCCTTACACCAGCGTGAGACGCTGTCTGCAGCGGGGATGAGAGCAGACACAACTTTCTTTCTGCTCTGTGAACAAATGTAATTGTGTTCTGTTGTGTGCGTGCCCTGGAGACTTGGCTTCATTCAATGTAAATTGCATCCCCCTTTGTATTAATGACACATTAAATCCAATTAGCAAAATGAAGACACAGTTTGTTCTGTTTGGGAGACGAAGGATCAGGCTCGTTTATGATGCTTTTGTTTTTGCTCTACAATTTCTTTCCGACCCTATAATCATAAATGATTGTGGATTTCATGATTCAGATTTTTCCAGCGAGAATACAGTTGATTTATTTCATATAAGTGATACGCCATTTATATGAAATTATATGCAAATTAACTTTGCACATGAATAAGCCACTTTTTAAATCTATTCATTTTCTCTTTAACCTAAAAAGCGACACATTTTTAAATTTTCACTTGGATTTAGCTTTTTCTGTCATGAATTCTGTGTCTAACTGAAATGCTGTTTTAGTGCCTCAAGGCGCCTGCAAGAAAAGGAAAATCCACTCTGATTGCCATATGATGTGAATGAGTCTGCATATGAGACAGAAAGAGGAGCCAAATATGATCCTTTTCTGACCTACACAAACATCTATTCATATCGAGTATTTGATGAAATGTCCCCATTTACATTATTATTCTTCCTCTGCAGCCCTTCTGCTCACTTCATCTCCAACTGCAGATGTCCGAGAACCCGTACTTGTCAGGAACAATCTCCACCAAGGCCACTGCACCGGGCATCATAGTCGCCACAGGTAAGAGACGAGACTCACAACAAACCCCTTCACAGAACTTATTTCTACTCTCGCGGCCTTGTGGGGATTTTCTGTGAAAAGGTATTTCTTCTTTTGTAGTACAAATCATGGATGCCAGGGACTTTGGATGGAGCGTTGTGCTGCGATCCTCCAGTCCCTCGCAGCCCTCTCACCTCTGCTTCTGTCTCAGGCCCTCTTTGAGCTACACAGGGCACGGCGCTCTGCAGAATCTCCACTTCCTCCACCTCTCTCGCTGTCACACGGCCCAGCCATTGATAAGAAAAAACAGTAGTCCAGTGTCTGTGAGCCAGCAAGTGTGAAAACACTGGAAAGAGTTGAAAGAGATGATTAGAGAAAAAACAGACATGTTTGGGCTCATTGGCAGAGTCAGTAGATAAAAGCAGTGGAGGCCGGTGAAAAGGGGCTTCTAATACATTTCACCAAACATCCCATTATGATTTAAAGCAAAAAAAGGAGGTATCAAAAAGCATTACTACTTTGCATTGAATATTTAATTTATTTCAAGATGAAAAGAGAATAAATATCACATTGACAATCTCATTTCTTTTTACCCTCAAAGGCAATTCAGTATAATATCATCTTTATATCAAAGTCATATTTAGTATCATACAATACTATTCCGTATAATGAAATTATATCATATAGGCAAGCTGACTATTTCAGGACGCTGGTTGGCTAATTTGTATGTCACACATTTCTATCTTTAATCAGCAATTGGCTGAACTGCCTCACAGATCCGCCTCCTATGGGCCATTTGACCGTGGCCCCAGTGCTGCGGAGACATACAGGAAAAGCATATATTTTGTTCAAATATCTTTTTTTTTATGGATATTGCTGGGGACATTCCATATGTCAAAGAGAAATATTGACAAATTGTATAATTCATCATTAGTTATTTATTTTCTGGCTTAAGGCAGAGCGCTCTAGGCGGGGCCACGCCTCCAGGCCCTTTATCGGCCTGCTCCCGCTGGATAAAAGTCAGAATGTCAATGTGTGTGACCATGCACGTGTTTCCATCTGGATCTGTCTGTTTTGTCTTTGCATACATCTCGGCTGATAATGCTTGCACAATGTGTCTGCGTGTGTTGGATGGGCCTTTGCTTTGACACCGGGATTCACTATCCAGACTGCGCCCTTTTAAGACGTCCGCTGGTGCAGAGATCATCTCACCAACATGACAAACACCATCCAGATCAAACACGCCCGTTCACTGAGCCATGGCAAAGATAGTGGAGCAGATCAGAGGAAGAAGTCCGTCCACTCGTTGCACACTTGCAGGAAAAGAAGCTTCACAGGAATTGTGTTTGTAACACTGCAAACTGCCTCCAGGTCTCAAATGATGATGCCTGATTTGATCCGTGGAAATTAACTGTCTTAACTTCTCTGTATTATTCAATCTTTGAGGACAACACACTGAACCGTGAATACAGCACAGTGATCACAGCATGTGTTATTGTGATCTGTAGATTTATTCTGTCACTGTTCTGTTGGTACGTTCTCTGCAGGAAATATTGGAGCGGAGCTGTCTTACAACAACGTTGGCATGTTCATATCATCTGATGCTGGCAATAGCTGGAGACAGGTGAGATTCACAGCAGGATCGATCCGAATCACAACTTGAATCAGAATCTGTCGCATTGCCAAATAGGTTTCTACATATTGTGATTTGCCTTGGTGATCGGCACATGGCAACAAATTCAGAAGCATAAATCCAGAGAAATATCCATACAAAAGTGTTTATATCTCACAGTTGGTAAACAACAGGTGTAAATAAGGTGAATGAATAGTGAATTCTATTCTATTGGGGATATTATACAGTGGGTGTACCAGTCCAGATTTTACTTTTTTGTTGTATGCATCGTTCTCACACAATATTCTAGCCAGCTAAGTCCTGGCCTTAGATGGACTGCTAGAGAACGACTGTAGGGAGCTAAGCTAGACAGCCAGGTATGCTGATGTTTGCAGCTTACTTTAGAGCCATTTGCATGACACCATTACAAGTACTGGTTTATAGAGCTATGGAAATAAAAAAAACAAATCAAAAAGAAAAGTTTATACTCCCTGGAGAGGTCTGGGTCTGATCGTTTAACTCGCTTTACGTACCAGCAGTTTCTGTTGCAGGTGTCTTTGTGGGTATTTCTGATTGCTCTGACATCGAGGAACACAGCTGGGACCGTGCAGCTAGTCGCTCACTCACAGTTCCAATGCCACCCCCACGCAGCATTATTGGTAGAGCAGTTGCCATAGTTTTTCTCTAGCCACCAAGATCTCACAGGCCCATTCCTAGTGTGTGCTTATTAAATGTCTGTTTAAAAGCAGCTAAATTTGAACATTTTCACTGACTGTTTCAAATCGAAAAAATGTGTCCTTACACCAGGGGGCGACTGTTGCTGCAGGGTTTGAGCAGGGTCTCTTTGTATGAGAAGAGGGGCGGTTTGATCACAGACATCCACGTGTCTTTGGACAAGACAATTAACTCCAAATGGCTCCTGCAGGCTTTTCCTGCATGAATGGGTATGAATGAGGAGCTGGTCCTGATTGGCGGGGTGCATCCTGCATTGTAGCCCAGCGTCATCAGTGTATGAACGCGTTTGAATGGTCTGAGTGGTTAGAAGTCTAGAAAAGGGCTATTCAGTCCATTTATCATCTCCCATTTACCTAGTCCAGTTACGGTCCATCATGACCTTAAAAAGACACCAGGCGTAAATAAATTGAGTAAAAAGTAAAAAAAAACAGCCATTTGTAAGAAAAACAAAGGAGAGGGAGTTCCCCGTATGAACGGTGGGGATCAGTGATTGGTCAGTGGGCGAGCATGCTCAGAGAACACTCACAGAAATCTATATAGTTGCTAAGAGGTTATTCAGAGAATGATCAATTGCTGTCAGCGTTTCTAATATATCATGAAAGTAATATTTTGCTTGTTGCATTCTCTAATGAACAATTTCTCTGCGTTTCTGTTCAGATATTTGAAGAGGAACACAACGTTTGGTTTCTGGACAAAGGGGGGGCCATCGTTGCTGTCAAACAGCCATCTGTGCCAACCAGACACTTGTGGTATGTCCATTTAGAAAAAATATATATTTTTGTGAATTGCTTTTTTCATTTTCTTCTGCTGTCTTTTGACTGTTTTTTTCCCTCATGATTGAGGGTGCAGGTTCATCCAATCTAAACCAGATCTGGTGCCCAGTTGCTTTTCCAACAAAAAAGTCTTCCGTCCCAACCCATTTACGTGTGTTGGAGAAGTAAAAAAGCTCAAGTCAAGGGGGGGCAGGCATTCTTCACATAGCACAGACCTCAGCAGTGTTTCCACCTGTGTCAGACTCGAGTACCCCTGGTTGTTCTCACTTCAGCACCTATGTTGATAGGCTGTCAGAATCAATAGAGCCCAGCCTGATGATGAAAGCTATCCAATGTTTTTATTTTTTCGCTGTCTTCTTCCCCCTCTGCAGTTCAACATGAAACAGTTCTATTCTTGTCTTGTTTTTTTCACCTGTGTGCAGACCAGGACCTGTGACGTTTCTTTTTGCCTTTTTGGCACTTTCTCTTAGCGCTGTGTCTTTGATAACCACACAGTCTGTCTTTTCAATATCCGTTTAAGGCTAAGCCTTTTGAAAGTTATCCAAAGCTACAGTAACAAATTGCACTGATGGTGGACTAAATCCCCCACAACCAGACTCTAATAGACAGCGTCTATCTCCGGGCCATCATCGTTGCTGCGTTTGTGATGGGAATGCATTCTGACTCACATGCACAGGGTCAGCTTTGACGAGGGGAGGCAGTGGACCCAGCACACCTTCTCCTTGGTGCCTTTGTTCGTGGACGGTGTCCTGGTGGAGGCCGGGGCCGAAAACCAAATCATGACGTAAGTCCAAAAAAAGGTTGGATGACAGATTAAGAGTTTTATTTGTGTGTGTGTTGTGGGTTGAGTGAAGGTTGAATGTTTGTTTTTGTTGTTCTGTTTAGCACTTGGCTTTGGTTCTCAGCAAAATATCGCCGACCTTTAAGGATGACAAAGGCTCTGGGGAATGTAGTCTTTGATAAGGCACTATTCTGAGGGCATTTAATGGGTCATGTAGCCCTTTGGGGATATTTGCAGGGCTATGGTGGGGAAATTAGAGGTGGGTAAACTCTGAATTTTGTGATCAGACAGACCTTGACGCGATGTGACGCAATGCGGCTGTAAGGCTGTTCTGATTAGATTCCATCAAGACAATTGGATCAAGAACTATCTAGATATTAAGGAGTCTCCTTTTACAGTAGTCTATGTCAGGTTCTGCCTGGCTACACAGCAGGTTTTTTTACGTTGAGGACTGACTTATTTTCAAAGTTCCTACCTATTCCGCCCCAGCAGCAGGTTAATTTTGGTCAAAAACGGATCCAGAACCAACTTCCAACAGGAATATTCTGTACTAATCCTGAACAAAAATATGAATGTTTCACACCGTTCAGAAGAACCTTGGCTTCAATCTCTGTTTGAAAATGCTCCAAACTCAAATCCAACAAGTTAGAAAATCTGTTATGCAAATTAGCCCAGAACATTTGCGGTGCTTATGTACACCTTTTTTTTAATCAAAGCTAGAAGCTAACAACAAAAACACGGAACCGAGACAACGCTGAATACCGTGGTGCCTGTCTCATTTCTCTCAGACAAACCTTACCGAAGCCGGAGCAGAATAACCACCAAGCATCCCAAGTATACCAATCATAAATGCCCCTTAGCTTTGATGTTTTTGAAAACACTATCAATAACAAGTATAATAGTTATTCTATCTTCATATATTATTGTCCTTTCAGTTATTATGGATTCTTGTTTTGGATCTTTTTATTTTTTTTGCTGACTCTTGCACTTTCACCCACGGTGCTGTAAATGTCCCCACTGCTGAAATAAAATAATGATTTTTTAGTCCATCTGTTGCAGAAATAACTAGCTCTATCACAAAGGGATAATTTGGTAGTCACCAGTGGCCTGTCCCTAGCTGCATGTGCCACATTACTTTGGCGCTTTGACACATTGTCATTAACCTCTGCAGCTTTTTTGGACACTTCAGCCATCGTTCTGAATGGCAGCTCATCAAGATCGACTACAAGTCCATTTTCAGCAGGAAATGCACAGAGGAAGACTATCAAACCTGGCACCTGCACAACCAGGTAAGAAACATGCAAATATATATTGTGAATTGTGTACCACCGCTATAAAAAGAATCAACAGCAGTTGTTCTCCTAGGTTCACAGCTTTGGGGAGGGAGGGGGGGCTGCGGATGGACACACATTTTCCAACGGGCATTTTCTGTCCGCTGGGGTTAGTGTGCTCACATATGTGTGTATGTGTTTGTGTGCACTTCGCGGCTTGACAGTTTGTGTAATAAAAGAAGTTAGACCTGTTCTATAGGAAAGCTAAATTTAAATGACGGTTGTGATGTGGCGTTAAATGGAAAGAGAAACCTTTGAGACTTTTTGGTGGGCGCCCCCCAATATAATGTTGGGGGAAAGGCTGAACACTCACAGTATTTATTGTGCCAACAGGGGGAGCCATGTGTGATGGGGCAAAAACAGATTTACATGAAGCGCAGGCCTGGAAACTACTGCATGCTGGGAGAGGACTACTCCAGTATCCTTTCAGCTGAGTCCTGTATTTGTCGAGCTCATGACTTTGAATGGTAAGATGTGCGTGCCCTTTCTACAAAAGCTCTTCCCTAGTAATCATCGAAGGGGATTATGTTTCTCTGCATTGTCTGCAAAAGAGAGCTTCATTAACAACCTTGTTTGTTCCCCGGCACTGCCACACATTAAGACTTCACGCCTTTCAAATCAAGGGTTGTTTCACTCATCGTTAAATGTGTTGCTACTTTATTCTTTTTTTATTGGCCAGCTGCCAAATGTGGTTATTTTTTCACATTAAATGTTACGCCAAGTTCAAAGCTTCTGTATAACAGCGACGTCTTGAAAAAGACCGTTTTGCTTCAGCAGAAGTTTGTTTTTTTCAGGTGCTTCCAGCCCAACGTAATCTCACTCCCAACTCATGAAATAGGAAATCAAATGTATTTTGGAACCAGACTATATGCATGTAAGACACCTGACACATCTAAAGCTGACATTAGAGGGATACATTAAGCATCATGGTTGAAAGCTCAGGGACACAAAATGCATGTATGAGATGTACATCCACAGTTACCTATCCATCTATCCATCTAGATAGATAGAGAGACAGAGAAATGAACTGGTTTGTTTTACACCCACACAGATGAAATTGTAGAGGTGCATCTGGTGAATCACTAAATGATATGTAAAATATGTTGTGTATGAGAAGTAAACAGAGTGTTTTCTTCTGTGATCCGTGGGTCAATAGTGCATTAGCATGCAGCTCTGTCCTCTGCAAGCACCATTTCCACTCTTCAGCTTGAGGCTAATTGTTCAGCTATGCATTTGGAATCCGTTGAATATGATATTCATGTGTCTCTTTAATTAACTCTATTTGCTGTGTGTTTTCTAATAATCGGATGAATTTGGGGTCGCTTTGCACGATTTGCCCATAATGTCGGTCTTCCTTCTAGCCTGCTAGGGTTGCAATTCGGTTGAGACGATATGTTTGGGTGTAAAGAGTTTCAATTTGTATGTAAATCCCAAAATGGTTGTGCTTTTTATCTTGTAATGACAGAGAGCAGAAAAAAGCCATCCCAACAAACAGCAGTTAGTTTTTGTAGAGTGACAAATGTTTTTCATTGATCTAATGCAAAGTTGTTTAGCTCTCTTCATGTGACTAGTCTCATTTCTGCTGCTGTCTTTTTAACATAACTTGTGGCGTGAATACTCAGCAGAAGTATACTCACTACCCTCGTATGAAACAATTGGAAAATGTCAATTTGATGATCTTATTGTATTTACATGTACAAGAGGCTGATTCACCAAAGAGCAAAGCTTGTCGTGCATATATTTTGAATACACACTTTATAGCAGTATCAAAAACTGTCAAGAAGTGAAAGCTGACTTTGGGTCAGTTATGATTGTGTCCCACTCAAAGTGGACGGGCCTCGCAGTGAACATTCTAGAGGTGCTCAGAGAAAACATGTTCTTTTCCCCTTAATTAGTGGCGATGGCTGAATTTGCTTCTTTGGTGCAAACTAAGCGAACAAAACAACATTGTGAAAATAAACACTGTGATAGATAAAAAAAAGTGGGTCAGGGGGAAAAGCAGGTCTTGCAGTCAGAAGATCAATAGTTGGTTGTCTGGCAGCCCATGTCGGTGTCCTTCACACAGTGAATGGGTGAAGGACACTAGTAAGCAGGTCTTTGAGTGGTCAGAAGACGCTATACAAAGGCAGTTTGTGTCATAATACTTTCGTCATTCCTCAACTGGGGTGATTCTCATTTTACGTTTCTTGTCACCATTGCTAAAATCCTAAGGCTCGTTATCAGCAACATCCCAATTCCTAAAATGTATCTTAAGGAGTGAGAAGTTTTGCAGCAAGAGCTCTAAGCCAGAAACCATTGTGTTTCTTTGACGAAGAGGTGACACAGTTGGCATAATGTCACGGAAATAAAGTTCCATTTTATTTAATGAATTGAAGTAATCAAAAGGTGACCAAACTTTCTTCCCAACTCAGTTCATGTAGCTGCTCCAAAGGCTCAGTTCTTACCAGACCTGATGTTTGTTCTGTTTTAACATTTATTATGGACTTGATCTAATTCAACTGATATTATCCTGACATTTATTAAGTGCAAACATGTAGTTTCAAATACATAAAGCCTTTACTAACTTAGCCTTTGTTGCACACTTAATATATACACCGGATATAGCTTTTAGCTTTTCTTGTCCGAAAGACAGCATACTCACCATCTAGCTCAAAGTTCACAGGCGCCAGTGTAACTATTCTGCTTTGACAACTTGTTAATGAAGAGTTCACACTGTCCTTATCACAAATAGAACAAGCCTATTCAGCAACTGGCCTTTATGATTTTGGTTATTCATTCTGGCTTTGTGAGTAATTGGTAATTCAATATCATGATCATTTTTAGAATGGACAGTTGCTTACTTCAGTTTGTTGGATGTAAACCATGTTTTGATTGCTAGCGCGAGCAGCTGAGTGAGAGCTGGTCATCCACTGAGTGTGGTTTTCCATGCAGTGCTTCACACTGTTTTGGCACATCTGGCAACAATGGTCTTAATCAATGCTTTACAATGGTACATCTTTTAGCCAGTCAAGCCCCTGGTTACTGCACCTTGTGTCCCTCTCTCACATGCTGATATTGACCAGGTGCCTTGTGGATGTGTCTGTTCTACCAGTGATTACGGATATGAGCGGCGCAGCGACGGGAACTGTCGGCCTTCCTTCTGGTTCAATCCCTCCACTGTCTCCAGAAGCTGCAGCCAGGGTCAAAACTACCTCAACAGCACGGGGTGAGGATTGTTTGGTTTATGTGCATTTTTTTGTTTCTGTGCACAAACACGCTTGTTTTAGATGTGCTTTCTGGGATGATCAAACAGGATTTTAGAGCAGATAAAGAGAGCTGATATAATATTATTAAAATTGCTAAAACTGGATAAGTTACTGTGTGACAAGAAGTGACTGTTCCCAACCTGGTTTTAACATGTTGGCCAAGAATGTGGGCATCAAATAGCCAGATACATCCTTAAAAATAATATCCACAAAAATACACTTGTAAGCAATGTTATAAATAGTCTTCAAAATTGCATCTCAAGTCCCAAAGGTGTTAACAGCCTGATCTCCAGTATGTGAGAAGTTTGGAGCACATTTACTCAAAAACTGTAATTTGGTAAAGTCATTATACTCATTTTACTAAGTGCTACTGTAAGTTGGTTGAGGGAAGTAAAGGGGTCAGTCAGGTGCTGTAGTATGAAGTCTGTAGAAAGAGGAGATCAGGGTAAATGGATTGGGTGTTTACTCCAAAGATACCAGTTTTCTCCAAAGATACCGGTGCTAAATGTTGTTATTTTGAAGACGCATTAATTTGGCAAACAGATCCAAATAGAGAGGGAGAGGAGGATAGAGGAGCTGTCTATTATAGAAAGTCCTCTGCCTATAGTTGCATATCTAGGGGCTGGTCCAAGGCAAACCTGAGCCAGCCCTATAAGAGGCTTAATCCTGACTAGGGGGGGTTGATTTATTTAAGTTGGCATGTTCCTCTTGACAGAGCAGGTTTCAGTAAGTCAAAACAAATCTATGTGATTGTCTAAAATGTTATGATTTAATACAAATACCACTACAACTTTGATATGTGATAATTATTGAGATATTCTTTTGCATGGACGCGGCGGTGGTGTTATTTTGTATTTTTTAGAACTACTCTTCTTTTTACTTTTTCTATTATGTAGTGGACTTGGGGCAGACACAGTCTCTATTGGGTTTTGGGTGGAGAACTGTTCTAATGTAAGGTGTCTAAGGTATGTTGTCTAAAATGTCATCTTATGAACTCAACTTTTATAGATGAGATCCGCTCCATCCAAAGTGGGATGAACGCCGTCTCTCCTATTCCAATCAGGAGAGACAAGTTAGTGACTAGTAGTTAACATGTATTATGCAGGATGATGAGTTACACAGAACTTATTTGGCGCTTAAACTCAGCGGGGGGATTTGAGATTGCGCTGTGTTTGCCCTTAGCAGCAGCCATATATGAATCCCCCCTGCAAAGTCCAGACACTGGTGGTGGGTGCTGGAGGTTCTGCTGGGGTCGGGTAGAGATGCAGTTGGGTGCCGAATCGGATGGTGCTGGGGTGGTGGAGCATGGGACACCAGAGGCAGGAATAAAGCACATTTAAAGGAGACAGCAACAACTATAGCTCTAGATTCATTTAGGCTACATTTTCCCCGGAAAGGGCCATTTATTGTACACCAAAAATGCTGGACAGCACCTCGACAGCCGGTGGCTGTTGATTACACTACTAACAATATATTCTTCACCCCACAACAATTTATTTTGGTCATCATTTGATTTTACTCCATTCTCTTTACTGTTTATATGTGTGTGCTTTGTTTATTTTGAGGCTAACCAGGGAATCAACACTATGCAAAGCTCAATTGAATGGGTTTTATTCTGGTGATGTGATTATGCTTTGCAAGGTGTCTCAGCCTCTGGCACAGCTTGTGTTGTCGGTTGTCATCAAGTTTATTTCTGCAATTGGAAGCCCGAACAGCTGGTCTGACACACCACTCTGCTGATTTCAACATTTCTAAACCAAAAGCTCATGAAGCACCTGGGGAAGTCATTCCAAAATGAAAGGAGTGCATTAACTTAATTAACTTAAGATTTAGGTAGAAATGTCAAAAAATGGGAAATAAAGTCATTTATTTTTGGATCATTTGAAGGTATCGCAAAGTGGTGTTGAACAACTGCACCAAAGGAGTTAAAGAAATGTACACGGCAAGAAAGCAACAGTGCCCCAACAGACCTCCGAAAGGACTCATGCTGACCATCAAAGACGGCAAACTCACTGCCAACCTGGGCAGCAATGTCACCTTCTTCGTTCATCTGGATGAGGTGAGAACCGACAGCATGGCTGCTTCACTGGTCTGGCTGAATATGTTTTTAACAGCTTTTTAATCATGCTTACATCCAGTTGATAATGTAAAACATTTTATATAAAAAAAAAAAGGAAATATGTTTCCAGTATTAACTCTTTGAGCTCCACCTATGCTTTAGGGAGTACTTATTTTGCTTAAAACACCTGCAACACTAAACGGTTGATAAAAGCTATGCGACTGAGACAAGACAGCAATGTTTGACTTAAATAAGAAGCTGAACAAAGCTGAATTGGAGGTGTGGGGGTGAGAGAGGCGATAAGAGGATGGGGAATTCTACAGACATGACCGGTTTCTTGTTCATAGTTGTCCATTGTGGTATTTGTATAACGTCCCCGATCTAATGATCTACATAGTTGTCAGATTGGTCAAGTCTTATCTATTGTCAGATCATGTATTTTAAACGTTTTATTATTGATTCCCTGCTGCGGTTCATAGTGATTGTGTGTGTGTGTGCGCGTGTCTGCTCTAATCAATTATTCTTCGATTAGAAAACGGTTGCCCAATGTTGTTATTTAGCTTTACTGAGGCTACAACAAAGAGGCTGCAATGATGGTCCAGCAAAATTTGATTGTGCACCTTTGTATAAATGGTGATTTTTTCTCCCACAGTAAGGAGATGGATTGAAAGCCCGAATGGATTGATCTTCTGTTTTCTTTGGAGTTGGACTGTGAGGAGCTGCTGAAATCAGGCTCCTTATGATTTAATTGCCAAACAGTTGACTATTTTTTAGGATCACAATTCAAATTATATTCTTAGTTATACAGTATCAAACCCAAAAGTTTGAACACACCTTCTCGTTAAATGAGAAAACGTGTCCGACCTTTTGATTGGTACTGTATGTGTTAATGTGCTCATGCAGGGACAAATGCAGATTAAAGACTGGCTCATTCATTTCAGACATGGACGTTAGAAGAAACAAAGTTAGTGATGTGCATTAATGTTGACAGTAATTGTAATGGATTTAATAATAGTGTTAGAAGCGGTAGGTGTCAGCGGGCCATGACGGGAGTAATGAACAGGGTCCACATATTACCAGGATCCATGGAAACCTGCGAAGCAAGAAAGAACAAAGACTCCAGGAAAGAAGCTGAATTAGTGATGTGCATTAATGAGATGTGAATTCTTTTAGGAGAGAGAAGAAAAGAGAGGAGCTCTGTGTGTCCTAAGAAATCCCCCGGCAGACCTGTATCGACCAAGCATTGTGACCTGTGGTGTTGCGGAAGTTATCATATCCCACAACAACGTTTTTTAAATCTGAACGTGCACTAGAGTCTTCAAGCCACTAAATATCATCGCAGGCTTCGTGAACATAGATTACACTTTTAAGCCAGAACCTAAAGCGGTCTGAACATTACCTCTTTCTTTTATATCTCTGCGATCGTTCTACCTAATGTGTTCTTGGTGCAAATTCAACATAAAGTGATCTGTAATGTGGGTAATCACAGCTAAACAAAAACAACCGAACATTTCCTTCAGCTGCAGGCTTTTAAGAGAGCACAATTGTCAAGACAAAAACAACACCTGAATCTGCATTTCTGGGACTGGTTCATTTTGTTATAATCGTACAACAGATCACTTTAGACAACAAACTGAGAACCAACGTACCTCTTGGTTCAGTGTTGTCCTGAATCCGATTTGGCTTCCCTTTCACTTGCACTGATTAGACACTGCTGAGAGCATGTTTCATTTTTGTCCTTTCATCAGAGACACATAATTATGGACACCAGAGAAAAATTCAGTAGACGTGTATGCAGTTCTTTTGAGTGTTATAGGAATTTTCTAATTTTCCATTTATTATATGAAAGCTAATAAAGCTATAATAACGTATTATTTCCGTCAATCAGTAATTAACCTGATGTATTGTCCCCATTTGTTTAGCCATTGCCACATTACCTAGCTTCCCCAGTGCAATAATCACTTCTCTATTTCACACTCAAGTCACATTTGGGAGAAACTGTTCTACAGTTGTTCTTGCTCATGTTATCTTTTTGTGGAATTTATTTCTCCCCCAGTGGAAAAGCTAGATAAAAACTCCTGCCAGCAAACGCTGTAATCCGACATGACAGGTTCAGCCACTGAGGACTCCCACCTAAAATATTAACTAGTGCTCCTTTTCAAACTCAAGCTCCATACAAAGTAAACATCAAAAGTGGCACGTAGTGAACTAAGCTAACGCGGCTTTCCATTTATTTACTCATTCCATTCCAAAATGCCCTATATAATTCATGAATAATAATCTGTGGACATCAGGAATGTAATATGTATTGTAATGTAATAAAGGCCCATTAGGTGATGTATTTATTATCTCTGGACCTCTTGGAGTTTGTAGGACAAGCAGTAAACACATATTTCAGATCCCCTCACAAAACATGTTAACACACACTTTTGCTATTGCCACATTCAGATAAACATTAGCATTTATTTGCTTTATGTTTCTGACCACATGTTGAATACAAATCCAAGTAAAATGTATTATTTTTCCCTAGCTTGCCTTATTTATACACTTTTATATTCAACTTCTCTACTTACATGGATGCCCTTTAAAATATTTTACTGAATAGAGAGATCTGCAGCTTCCCCAGACACCATATATTACTGTACGAGTACAAAGAAAAATGGGCGCGTCCTTTTGAAATAATAGATCCGTTAAAAAAAGAGATCCGTCCTATCCTCAACATAATTCTAGCTTTGTTATGATGAATTTAGATTTGTATTCTCAAAATTCCACTTTCCAATTTCACTTGGAATAAATGAGTTTTCTGTATATTTAATAATTACAACTATAGCAAAAGGTTTTTTTCAGGGCACAATCCAAAAAGTATTCATTTTCATAATATAACAATGGATGAATTTGATATAGAATTGAGTTTTAGTGTACAACCAATGTTGTTATAATCTATTCCCAGGAAGATTTTAATAGAATAATTGTAATTAAATCATACTAAAACAATACAAATATTGAAGCATTATCATGATAGTCAGTGTTTATAAAAGAAGTATTAAAAATTACACTTTGTCTTCGTCAATTAAACATTTAACCTAATTACACAAAGCAATCTGGTACATTTTTTTGTGAAATATTATAAAAAATGATTAATATTAATGAATTAATGACACTTTCAGTAAAGATGTTTATTTCAAAGCAATTGTATTTTATTTACATTGATAAAAGTTTTCTTTTCTCAACCATGGTATAATATCCACAAGAGGTCTGTGTATTCATCCTTACTGCTTTGTCTACTAATGAAATAACGAAACCAATTTATTCACAGTCGTCTATAAACGGTATTTGTTGCTCCTCACATTGACATGGTGGTTTCAGGTTTAACACACACCTGAACAAATGCCGGCAAATGTATCCAAACCCTTTTCAGCCGTTACAACAGCGCTTTCATTGTGACCTGACATCAATGTCCCAGCCTAAATGATCCAGCCATGACGTCTTTGGATTGGCTCAGCCTTTGGAGGTGCAGCACACAAAGAGTGACATTCAGAGAGACGGGTCGGCATCGGTCTCATGCAGATAAGTGGATCCCATCGGGTATAGAGAGCAAACATGAACGCAGCAGACAGGGAAAAGAGCTGAGTGACATTGGCACCACAAGGCCAGAAACCTGTTTGCCTGCCAACTCATTACAGCTCTTTAAAATCCCTGCACTGTCAGGCTCTGTTCTTAGCTGTTCTCTCTCTCCTCTCCTCTACTAACAATATCATTTTCCAGGCACAGTGACATAAAATACCCCAGAAGCCTAAAAAAAAAACTTCCATGATTTCACACTCCGTAGCAAGTGCATTCAGAAACCGGTGCGATGGAAGGAGCAAAGGAGCTGGGAAGAGAAAATGAACAATTGGTGTGTTACTTTTGTTTTATTGTGTTTTTTGGCAGAGGTGGAATGCAAAGATGCTGTTACAAATAGAGATCCCAGTAGCGTCGCCCCACAATGTGCCAAGGGGAGGCTGGGAGTTTGCGTTCGCCGACCTGGGAGTTCGAGCACAGTTTTGGTCACAGTGGCAGCTGGAGCCCCCAACCCTCACACTGTGCACTGATCCTCGGATCGTGCCAGATGTGATCCCCAGAGGAAATTGTGCAGGCAGCTGAAGACCTGCATACCATGCCAAGTCAAACAGGGTTGTGCGCTGCCTATACACACACACACACACACACACTGTAGCCTGCATTTAAAATGCTCTCTACCTCTTTCTAAAACTCTACTATTTTTACATTCAGGATTTCATGTAATGAAATAATTTACAGCTACAGACATCTAGAGAAATGAAAGCTGATTGCAACACTTAGGTACTCATGAATTATCTTTACAAACCAGCTGTCTGCACTGACTCCTTGAACAGTGATTTGTGAGATTCTACAATTTAAATGTTTATTTTTCAGTTTTAACCTGCAGAGAAAGAGAGCACGTTCTTCAGAGGAAGAGAAGGAAAATCATCTTTTCCACACAATCCTCATACAATGACAATGATATACATACCTTGAGTTATTCCTCACTGCCACTTTTTAATGGCAAACGTGTGGTGGTGGGGTCACCTTCCTCATTTTGAGTAAATCCACCTGATAACAAATGGTTCAATTTACAGTCATCTAGTAAATCTACTGTATAAAACCTTATCGGGTTAGCGGCTCTGCCATTGTAAGCTGCAAGGGTTGTGTAGTGTTTTTTTCAATCAACTCCAAAGGGTTAGGTTTATTTTTCATTTAAGCAGCTGAATGTGGGCAGTTGGTGTATTCCTGGAATATCCACTGGGAAATTCTTTTCTTTTCTTGAGGTTATGAATCCGATTTTGTGGATGTTTCAAAATAAGTAAATCAAGAGAGGTCTTAAGCAGCAGAAGGTACAAAGCAGATACTGTTACGGTATGTGGTGGCGGACCCAAATGCAGAGACCAGGAGGTACAGGGGAACTTGTTCATTGCCAGGATCACAGATATGGAAACATTAGGGAATAGCAGGGAAATCCAGGCAGGCAGGCAGGCAGGCAGGCAGGCAAGGGAACAAACAAAAACAAAAACAAACAAACAAACAAACAAACACCTCTTCAATGGAGCAGCCAAGAGCAGTCACTATCAGGTAGGTTGAAACAATGATCTGGCAACGAGTGGATGAAGAACCAGGGTAGATATACTGCAGGGTGATTTCTTGATTGGAGGCATCTTGGTTCCCTGAGCAGGTGCGGTGACTTCTAATCAGGTCATCTGAATAGGCTTCAGACCAGAGCCACGCCCCTACCACAGCGTACAGGCACGAGGCATGGCCTCGCCCTGACAGATACCAGTTGAAACACCACATTCAAACAACATAACTATTTAAAACAGTTGTGTAGTTACATAGCAACAGTAATCATTTTTAGTCGTGTTTTTGTCACCTGATAACGTTTAAAGCTGCATGCGAACTTGTCGTTGAGTTTATTGGGTACAGTCTAAGGGAACAAAATCGCACATTTGTGTGTGTTTTGTGTTTGTTTGTTTTAGTTCTGGTCCACTTTCTGTTTACCTTTTAAAAGCGTTTGTATCTTAACATCTTAAATAACTCCGGGAAAGAAGCTGTAAAAGTGATATAATGAGTTGCAAATTCTTAAGGAGAGGGAACTTAAGTGTGTCCCCCAGAAATCCCCCAGCTGTCTGGGTCTATAGCAACTTATCTGAGGGCTGGTCCAGGCTAACCTGAGCCAGCCCTAACTATAAGCGTTAACAAAGAGGAAAGTCTGTGTCTGCCTCCCGGACTGAAAGTGGAAGCTGGTTCCACAAAGAAGGAGCTAACTGAAGGCTCTGGCTCCCATCCGACTTTTTAAGACTAGAAACAACAAGTAAACCAGTATTGATGGAGCAGAGATCTCTCGTAGGGCAATATGGTATTTTAAGCTCCTTAAGATAAGACAGCGCCTGACCAGCTTAATTTTGTGTTGAAAGTAGCCAGTTGAGGTGATTTGGGCATTTGGTAGGGATGACCTCTGGGCACCTCCCTGGGGATGTGTTCCAGGCACGGCCAGCTGGGTAGAGGCCCCTGGGAAGACCCAGGACTAGGTGGATGGATTACATCCCCACACTGGCTTTGGAACACCTTGGGATCCCAAGGAAGTGACAGTCCTTGAAGTCTGCTTTATCTGAGAGTTTAAGGACACATCCTGGTCAAAGAGAACTCCAAAATTCTTTACAGTGCTACTTGAGCAATGCTATCCAGAGAAACTACATCACCAGAAAACTGACTTTGAAGGCGCTCTGGGCCTTTCAAGATAATCTTCATTTTGTCTGAGTTAAACATCAAAGGTTCTTGGTCATCCAAGTCCTGATGTCCCAAAGATGTTCTTTTAGTGTAACAAGATGAACAGTCTCATCCGGCTTGATCGACAGATAGAATTGAGTAAGGTTTGCATAACAATGGAAGTTTACTCAGGGTTTTCTGAAAACATTGCCTGAAGGAAGCATATACAGGATAAATAAAATCAAGCACAGAAGCTTATGGGACTGTGAGCAACATTGGTGGTCATCAACGATTCACCGTTCAAAAGCACCTGCTTGCTTTGTTCAGTAGTATTTTGCAGCTGACAATTGTTGTCCCACACTTTTTAAGCTGTAGTTTTGGATACAACCGCATCAGCTGTAACAGCTTTGGTCTGGTACAGCAGCTTTAGCAGTTTAGCTTTTGAAATTGTTTTTAAATGATCTGCTGTCAAGTTCTGTGGTTTGTTAATTTGCTTTTCCACACTACAAATAAAGAACAACAAAACTGTTCACTTCAAACATTTAGAAGTGAACTGGGACCAACATCTTGGTTCAGTTGTTTGGTGTGGATTTGATTGACAGTTAACACAAGGCAAACAAACCTTACAAACAGGGCAAACTGTTCAAATGGACTGAATGTCAAAGCATCCTAAGTCCACTCTTATTTAGCTCTCTTTTTGGTTTCTACCTATTTCTGAGGGAGATACGGTGTCTGGCTCAGCAGCGCAGTGCAGCAGCTAAATACAAAATGCTAAATGTAGCATTAATAAAACTCACACTGTGGCACCTCTCATTTACACCTGATAAATTGATATCATGAAAAAAAAACATCTGCTCTTTCCAGAAATTGAAGCATCCCCTGAAGTATTTTCAAACACACTCCAAAGCATTTTATTTAATTTCATTTATTTTATTTTGTGTGCTGTAATATCAATTTTACAAAGTAAATTAACATGTTAGGTGACATAATTATTCTATCTGACTTTCGCCAAAGCTTTGCTCCTCGGTAAATCGCCCTGTGACGGCGAGGTGGTTTAAATTGCAAAAGTGATGGTGCATTGTTTTTATTTGTAACCGAATGATCTCCTGCTGTGTTTCAGGGTGACTCTCTGCACACCAACATCCAACTGGATTTTGGTGATGGCACAGCCGTCTCTTACTCCAACCTCAGCTGGACCGAGGAGGGGATCAAACACATTTACAAGTCTGCTGGAATTTTCCGTGTCACAGCTTTGGCAGAGAACACACTGGGTTATGATTCTACAACACTTTTCCTGCACGTCACATGTAAGTGCTGCTGTTCCATGTGTGATTTTTTGGTGTTTTTGGTTTGATTGGGACTGCACTTCATGCAGACATTAGGCCCATGCTGGGCTGGAAAAGATTCTACCAAATAATTGATTGTTGAAATAGGAGCCAATCAATAGACACACCTTCTCTGTTTTGCTCTGAAACAGCATTGTGCTGCATACAGGTAGACATATTGTCAGCCCAGTTGCACCACTCGTCAATGTCACACTGGGCCCCAGGCAGCCAATCAAACCATAGTGGCGAGCGCTACTGCATGTTGACAGAGGTGGTAGGACTGGCTAGTTAGTTGGCTGATGAATGGTGAGCGAGACGTTTATGCAGAGAGAGAGTGTGAGGGGGGATTCATGTTGCCTGTATTCTCTGAGAGAGCGAAATCCTGGGAATCACATTTCATCACTTGTTTGCAGCTGTAGCATTCAGGCATTGCCGGTCCACGCATGATTTTTGCAAGTCTCCCCTCCTGTTGTGTCCTGCTGGATAGGTAATTCTGATGGCACTCATTTGGCATTCTTACGCTTCAAGCTGACACACTCCCAACCAACGGCGTATATAAAGTGATAACAATCATTTGCACCATATGCTTTTAGCATAGTTAGGGCCTGTTGTGAACAAAAGATATGCTCTGAATTCTGTAATGTGTCCCTTTCATGATGTAACTGTCTCAGAATGCTGCAAGGATGAAATATTTTTTCTGGTCAATCAAGAAAGTAAGTGAAATGACACCATGATCACATTACTGCATGTCACCGCCACTGAGCTAAAGGAGGGCTGGTGTTCTTGTGAGGATGTTTAGTGGTCTCTTTAAACAGTTTAAAACATGTACAAGCTACACTTTCCCAAAAGGTCCTTACAGACCCATTTAATATGGTAAATGGACTGATACTTGTAAAGCCCTTTTGACTACATACATATGACATCATGTTTCATCACATGTCATCATCTACCTATTAAAACACTGGTGTCAGCACCCATCTTTTAGGGTCGCTTTATTCGGGACCCAGATGCAGACACAGAGACGGCAGGATAGGTGGGGATTTATTTTTACTTTTATTGGGACATTTATCCAGTCTAGTTCTGCAGTTGCGAGGTGCTGGTTGGGCTGCCTGGAGATCCACTGGGTTAGAAGGGAAAAAACACACTGGTTAGCAAAGAACTGCATTTCACACTCAGAGGTGCCGAGATGTCACTGGAAGCCGGGGATCTTCATCTGGCGTTGACGAGGGCCTATTGATCCACAGGTGAGGAGCCCAGCTTCCAGCTGATTGCAGCTACCCCCCCCCCCGCCCACACACACACACAGAGAACAATCGAGAGTAGAGCTGCCGCCACGGTGGAGCCGTGACATTATCAGTGCTATTAACTCATTTATTCATATACAATCATGCACAGGAACGGCAATTTGGGAGCAATTTGGGGTCAAGTGTCTTGGCCAACAACTACATTGTAGAACTGTAAACACTGTAGGTGTAAAAGTCGCTTCAGCTTGCATTAAACACCTTATTTTAGACATGTAACCAAAGACACAATCAGAAAAAAAAATATATATATATATATATATACACACACACACACACACACACACACACGTGTATATATATATATATATATATATATATATATATATTTTTTTTTTTCATTCACTAGGCTTCATAATAAAACTGACTGATCTTTTCATTTGTCCATGTTACATTATATTCATGTTGCCGAGGTTCAGCTTTCAATTGTCCTGCTCAATGACAGCCATAAATGTGATGGATTTTAAACTCCTAAGTGAACTACCCTGACCTTATCCTCAGGATTGTATAATAAAGCAGTGGTAAACACAACAACAATAAAAGGTCACAACCATTGTGCTTGTGACTGTGGGAAGAGAATGAGACTTTTGGCTGGGAGGCCAAGTTATCTGAGGCTAGAACTGACTTATTCTATAGTGAAAGTGATTTTACACAGCCACCGACACAACAAAGTATGGCATCATTATGCTCTTCAGCATTTCTCTCGACAGCATTTATAAAAGTATAATGCCAGGTTTCCAAGGGAATAATGTGTTCCTGTGTTTGTAGAATCTTTTCCTGTGTCTTGATTGATCCTGTGTTTTTCTTTCATTGATTCGTTCAGCCCTTTTCGATTTAACCACTTACCATCCTGACGTGCAAGCCAGAGTAGTATTTTTACATTTCAGATAGCAATAAGGGGAAATCCCCAAAGTGAATACAATGATTTCTCTGTGTAGCTTAGTTAATACCAAATGGCTGTCTTTTTCTTGTTCACACACATATGTGCACTAGATCGGGCAGACTTTTTCTGTCCGAGCCCGGCCCGCGTCCGACACTGTTGGGCCCGAGTCCGACAGCCTTTAAATTATTTTGTCCGAACCCGACCCGTGCCCGACTGAGTCAATGCCTCAACTGTTCATAATAATGACACATTCACGAATGTTTCTTTTTTATGAATAGCCTGCCTTTATTAAACTCAGGCATCAACAGATAAATATACTTGCGCAAACAAACAAGTGCTTTTGGAACCGGGGTTCTACATCATGGGAAGCAGATATTGACTTCACTACTTATTAAGATATTTTAAATATGGAATGTTCAATAGCTTATCGTGCTAATGTGTCCGAGCCCGATTAAATTTGCTAAATATTTATCCGAACCCGGCCCGACCCGTCGGTCCAACGGGTACCGACGGGCTTGGGTCGGGTATCCACCCTCTAATGTGCACACACACACACACACACACACACACACACACACACACACACACACACACTTAAAGTAGGGATAAAGACTGGTTCTGGAGTTTTTCTAGTTCCCCTCACAGAGGGACTTGTTGACATAAGGACATGTTTTGCTGTCACCAGTAACATTTGATTGTCTGTCATTTCAGATTTCTAAAGAAAACCTTTTACTGCTCAGTGGGGACATGAAACAATCACTGGCTCCCCCTAATTCCTCAAACCACATATTGAAAAAGTGTTGAACTGGCCTAAATACTAGTTAGTCATGGCTTTGGGTTTTGACAATTTTCCCACGCTTAGGAAAAAATGGATGCCACCAGCTTGCAGATGTAAAAGATGAAGATGTATATTGTACTGAAGCCCAAATGACTTCTCCTAAGGGACTCAAAGCAAAAGGTTCAGGAAAGATGAAGAACGTCCAGATTGACTGCTTGGCCTCTGAATCACTGCCCACATCCCAGCCCTGTTCATACTTTTGGCATTGAACATACAATATATATTATGTTGTGCATCGCCGGAAAAGAGGAAAAGATTTGTTCTCCTATTACTTTAACAAAACAAAATGTGCATGGGTGGGCATGTGTGTTTGATTTTGTAATCATTGACGTCGGCTTAGAATAACAACACTTAACACTGCGATTGACTTGGGAAAACAGGTTGTTTAAAGTCAATGCACAACCATAAAAGTGTTAAATACAAGTTTCTTCGGGCTCCGTGTCAAATGGCAATGATGTTAGAGGCATTGGAAAATACCCCCCCCCCGTCCCCCGAGTGAATAAGTAGTTCAACCTGATTATAGCTCAGTTTTTTCTGTCTACATTTTTGTACTGTTGGGTCAGACATTGAAGCATAAGTTGCTCCGTGTGTGAGTGTGCGTGTGGATGAATGAGAGGCCAATTGTAGAGGTGCAGTCCATTAGACCTTTCCTTACTTACCCATTTAGTTCAAGGTGTGGAGGGTAGATCCTATCCCAGAATGCACCAGGCAAAGTCAAATGAACCACACTTATCCGTTATGACAGAGCTAACACGCAGAGAACATTGTCAAACTTTTAAATGGCTGCTCACTTCCCTTAAGGTGCAGATCTTTGGACTGTAAGCAACAACCCGAAATGCAAGTTTCAAACAAAATGTGTGATCTGGCCAATTGTCTTTTTTGAAGGAAAAGTCTGCTCTTAATTGTGCCTCATTAGAAGCGGTCATGCATAACGTCGGCTCTTCTATGGGTTTCTTTCCCAGGTCCAGTGGAGCATGTCCGGCTCATCGCTCCCTTCGTGGTCATAAAGAACAAGGAGGTGAACATCACAGCAGTGGCATTACCCAGCCACTCACGTACTGTCACTTACTTCTGGTGGCTCGACAACAATACTGAGGTAACATCCAGGACAAAACTCGTTGAGATATACTTCAGTCTAATGTTTGTATTGCACGCTACTGCATGCTGGCATTTATCTGTGTATTTGATATTTAAGTATTTTAGAAGTTGACTTGTTCATTATTATTATTATCAAGTCATTCCAAGTCGTCAAGTCAAGTCCCAATGTAGGAATTAGGGAAGGACAGGGAGAGAGGTATGATACGCCACAAAGGCCCCCACGGCTGGGACCAAACACAGCATGTTGCGAATAATATAATAATATGGCCACATAAACACTTGGTTGGTAAGGTGTTTTAACACACACACACACACACAACAATTCTACCAAACCTCCTACTGCTCTTCAAAAAATTCAGCTTTTCAAAATCTAGAAGTCACACCACTGATGAATCGACTGCACATAAGGAAACAAGAAGCAGACTGGGACACCGCCCTGGTTGTGGAAAGCTAAAGAAAAGTGTCTGGTGAATAAAGCATCCTCCCTAAGCTTGAACGATGTACCTTCATCGTGTCCCTGCAGCCCGTGATAACGTTAGACGCCAGCATCTCACACACCTTCCCAAACGACGGGATGCACACCGTCACCGTCCAAGTGGCTGCAGCCAACAGCTTACGACAAGACACCAAGACCATAGCAGTCAGAGGTCAGTATTTCTATTCTTGTGTCTTGGAGCTTACTACTGTAAACGTGCTGTTTTAGTTTTTATGTTCAAAACACGCAGGCCTTTGGAAAGCAGTTAAATATTGTAGTACACATCAATGTATTCATTCATCCATCCATTACTTGTACCGTCATATCAAGGTCCTTCTTGAGTAAATTACATCACATTATTGTTAGAACCTCGGAGAAGAATATGTCTTCATTTGAAAGTAATCCGACAGCAAGTATCCGATGAATGCACTGATTTATTACATGTGGATGGGCCAGCATTAAACTGACATTTTCTAATCATTTGGAAGTGCATCTGGTACATTTAGCCAAAGGGGAGTGCGGAGGATATTGTAACCCCCCCGCTTTTCATCAAGTTTTAACTACCTGAAACTCTACTTGAGCAAAATGACAGTTGGCACAGCTCCCCGAGAATAATGCCTGTGGAGCCGAGTGAATTAATGGCTGATTCTCCCCTGACTCTCCTCGGCAGGATTCTTCAAATCTCTACTTTTATCTTTCTCCCCTAATCTGGATGAGTTCAACCCCGACATACCCGAGTGGAGACAGGATGTGGGGAGAGTAATTAAGAGGGCTTTGCTCCAAGTGAGTGGTTTTCATTTTCTATGTCTCCCCTTCTCTCCTGTCCATCCTTCTGTCTGTCTTCAGCTGCTTTCCTTTCTCCCTTTTTATCCTCTATTGTCTTTCTCACCCCACTATTTCTCATTACTTCCTATGCTCCTATATCCTTTTCTGCCCAATACTCGGTGGTGCAGAAAAAGAACGACCTTGGGTCAGCCTGTGATTCATCATCAGACAGGTGTGAAGACGCCCTTCTTTCACTTCTCACCCAGGATGGCTTTATGAACGCTAATTCCTTTCATTTTAGAAGTCACAAATGAAGTGATCAGAAGCACAGGAGGCCTGGTAGGACCCTATGAGTGGCGACACCCGTCACCACGTCCTCTGTGTGTGTGTGTGTGTGTGGGCAGCGTCCCTGTCTTCGTCAAGTGCTTCTCAGTTCCCCTTCGCTACTCATGAATAGCGGACTGCATTTGGTTGTGTCCTGTGGCCATCTTACTGCAGGTTGGCGCTTTTAGAGGAAAGTTTGAATGGTTGAAGGGGACCTCATGAATGACGTGGACATCCTAGACTCAGGTCCAGGCTTCTGAGCTCAGTGACTTTTCCTCGACTGTGAAGCCATTGAAAGGCAATGTGACAGAAACCAATTGAGTTTTTCCTTTTGAGAGCAAAAGGTTTCTGCAAAATGGGTTTGAATCTATTTTGATATTAACAGCTTTTGGTTATTATTCATAGAAACTCAATTCCGGACATCAGTTAAGAGCGGGCTAGAACGGGTTCAATTTAACTTTTAAAGTTTTATAGAGTTACCTAGTTCTTTATTGTAGTGACAGAAACACCCTCAAGGTACTGAAGTCTGTTACTTTAGTGTTTTCATTTCTGCTAGAATGTATATGTGAACTTTATGCAATGCTGGCACATGAGCTGGATTACTGCCTGTCTTTGGATCCAAAAGGCTCTACGTCTATTTTTTGGGCGTATAGTGTTGAAAACATTATTCATTATAAAAAACATTATAGTGTTGAAAACATTTATGACCAAAGAATAGCAGTTCTGGCAACTCTAATAGTGCTCATTATGAATTTAAAATCGGTTTGTTAAAACCTACTTATCCCATTTCATCCCATGCTCAATTTTGCTCATGTTGTGCATCATAGTAAAATAGTTGAAGGATAGTTTCACAAAAATTGAAAAAATGTTCATTTGTTCAAATGCACTTATAGTTATTTTCCTTCTGTTCGTGTTGACCACAAAGAGATCCACTCCTATCCAGGCACGATCGCAGACTGTGTGCTACTTCCCCATCCTTTATTGCGTAATATTATACTCTGTGGCTGGTGGTGGGAGGGGGAGTCTTACAGTGGTACGTAGTAGTGGACTAAACTGGCCTATACTGAAATGTGGTCATAGTACACTTTGTGGGACAAAATCAACACTATTTTCTGCTAGAAAGCTGTCCTGTCCCAACAGAATGATTTCCCCATGCCACTAAACTGCATTGGCAATCACCTTTAAAAGGCATCTTGAAGTTTGTACCATTCATTGCCAAATAGTTTGTATTAATTTACAATATTAATCATGTGTAAATCTACAACTGTAATCTGGGTGAAAATGTGTTTTCACAAAGAAATTGAGATTGCGGTTCAGTTGGAATATGATGGGGGAGCTGTGGATGCAAACAGCACACATTAGAAGGCTTTTTAGGAACTATGACTACTATACATAACCATCCAAGTGTTGAATGAAACTGGGTGAAAACGTCAATGCTTTATGTGTGGAAAGTTGCAGATACAGTGCATCCGGAAAGTATTAACAGCGCTTAAATTTTTCCCTATTTTGTTATGTTACAGTCTTATTCCAAAATGGATTAAATTCATTATTTTCCCCAACATTCTACACACAACCCATAATGGCAAACTATTTTTTGCAAATCTGTTAAAAATAAAGAACGAAAATATAACATGTACTTAAGTATTCTCAGCCTTTGCTCAATACTGTTGAAGCACCTTTGGCAGCAATTACAGCCTCAAGTCTTCTTGGGTATGATTCCACAAGCGTGGCACACCTATTTCTGGGCAGTTTCTCCTATTCTTCTTTGCAGAACCTCATGGTTTCTCATGGTCAGAGTCCTTCGGGTGCTTTTTTGCAAACTCCAGGCAGTCATGGGCTTTTTAGTGAGGAGTGGCTTCCGTCTGGCCACTCTACCAAACAGGCCTGATTTGTGGAGTGCTGCATAGATGGTTGTCCTTCTGGAAGGTTCTCCCCTCTTCATAGAAGGACGCTGGAGTAACCATCGGGTTCCTGGTCACCTCCCTGACTGAGGCCCTTCTCCCCCGATCACTCAGTCTGGCTGGGCGGCCAACTCTAGGAAGAGTCCTGGTGGTTCCAAACTTCTTCCATTTCTGGATGACGGAGGCCACTGTGCTCATTGACTTTCAATGCTGCAGAAATCTTTCTGTACCCTTCGCAACATCTGTGCCCCGATACAATTCTGTCTCGGAGGTCTACAGATAATTCCTTGGACTTCATGGCTTGGTTTATGCTCTGATATGCACTGTCAACTGTGATACCTTAAATAGACAGGTGTGTGCCTTTCTCAATCATGTCCAATCAACTGAATTTAGCACAGGTGGACTCCAATCAAGGTGTAGAAACATCTCAAGGATGATCAGTGGAAACAGGATGCACCTGAGCTAAATCTTGAGTATCATGGCAAAGGCTGTGAATACTTATGTACATGTTATGTTTTCGTTCTTTATTTTTAACAGATTTGCAAAAATTTGCAAAATACAATCACTTTGTCATTATGGGTTGTTGTGTGTAGACTTTTGAGGAAAATTATTAATTTAATCCATTTTGGAATAAGGCTGCAACATAACAAAATGTGGAAAAAGTGAAGCGCTGTGAATACCGGATGCACTGTAAGTAACTTTGTTTTCATCCCTTAACATCGCAGTTTGAAAACCATGTGTTTTTTTCCAGAAAATGCGAGGGAGGGTTATTTTTTCCCTATTTTGTTATGGTTGACAACTCTTGAGACAGAGGCCAGTCAACAACTGATGCATTTTCAAACAACTCTCCAACAATGAAATAGGATAAGAGAGTTTGAACAAAGTCAAGGTCCATTTAACTGAGGTTCGGGTTGTGTTGCCCCGTTTCTGAATCTATCAAGTCATGACTTTGCAGTCTTTGACAGGACTGGTTTTGGTGCAGCTGCCTCTGCTGGTCCTGAATGCCCATTTGGTAATGGCGGTTATTTCATTCCAACCGGTCTATCTCGAGCCACCTTCCTCTCATATTCCCTTAACGGTCCTTTTTCAAACTCATGCAGTTTACAGTTTTCATATACCCACAGCTGTGCTTGAAGGTTGATGCAAGCTACCAAACCATCGCATCCTTATTGCCGCCCAAACGGCACAAGAATAATTCCTGATCTGACAGACGCATCATTAATCAGGCACAGTTATGCAATACTTTCATCCTTTTGAACTGATAAACAATTATATTGTGGATTATTCAAATTAACATAATAATTTAAATTATTCACCTCACAATTCTTTAAAAAAACGTGTGTGTGCCAAGCACAGCGTCAGTTAGCTGCTCACAGAGCTGCCAGCGTGGCTCAAGATGTTTTTGTTCTTGCACATGAACACTTGATGTTCCAGATAAAGTCTCACTAAATATCACATAGAAATGCATCTGGTAAATCTGACAGGTTATATCCATATTAGATTTATACTTATATATACTAACCTCTGTGACTGTCTCTTCGCCTGCTTGTCATCCCCATCTAAAATGTTTCATTTAATTTACAGAGATTCCAACAAAAAGCACTCCAAAGCAGCTTTTTATTCCAACGACTGATTTGCAATGAGAACAAACACGATCAAGCGGTATTGATTTTTTGAATGGGGCTATTGCCTCTTCTGTCATTGTAAGTCATGCCCACTTTGGTTCTCAAATACTGATTTCTGTGCTTGATAATTGATATGCTTTGGCTATTCCCACCTCATGGTTTAGAAAATCACAGGCTTTAAAATGAAGAGCGATCACGGCCCTACCTCTGACTCCCTGGCTTTAATGCATTGATTAAGAGCTGAGAGCTCAAGAAAATTGCTTTTTTGGAAGCAACATTTATTTGGTTTCATATGTTCATAAGGTTTTGGCATCCCCAGAAACTAAGAGCAAGCTAGAAAACATCCATTGATAACAGTTATAAACCTGAAGGCCATGTGAGTATCATGAGTAGCTTGAAATATATTTAAGTTGTGTCAAGTTAAAGTAAACTGTTTATCAATCTTTCTATTAATAGTTTTGATCTGACACGGACACATAACTGTTCTAACGTTTTGACAACAGCTGGAAATAGTCAGTGGATTGTTGAAGGGTTTAAGGATGATTTACTGTCATCAAGCAACACACGGTTGAACTAAACAATGTTTTCGTAGCTCATCTACTACCCAATAAAACAATGGCAAAATCAAACAGTAGTGTATTGTTTTAGGATTTTTATACCCTCATCCCTTTGGAATGTCTGTACTAAAATTCATGGCAGACCATCCAGTAAAATGCTCTCAACATGTTTGAGAACAAACATGTTGTAGTGTTTGCATATTACTGATAGGTTCAGTACTCGCCCCCCTACTCTTCATCCTCTGCTTGCTCCCCCTTGCTAACATAAAACGCCACCATGGTTTGCATTTCCAATGCTACGCCGACGACACAGAGCTCTAAATCTACACTAAATACATCACACCCACTACGTACTCCACCATCGCCAATACCCTCTCAAAATATAGATACAAATCCCAAATCCCCATAGTCAGCCCCAAATCACTCCACAAATCCGACCACAACCTCTCCCTCTGCATTGACGGTACCACTGTTTCTTTAACACACTTCTGCAACCGATGTTCCTGAAATCAGAGGATTGGCAGTTCAATCCCAGTCCCTGCTAACCCGCAGGATGCAAATGTTGGATACTGATGGCCAGGTAGCACTGTGTATGGTAGCTCCTGTCATCAGTGTGTGAATGGGTGAATTTGACATGAAGTGTTAAAGCGCATTGAATGGTCGGAAGACTAGCGCTATACAAGTACAGTCCATTTACCTTTGTGTCATCTTCAATCAAACCCTCTCTTTTGAACGCCACTTCAAGCACATCATAAAAAACGCCATCTTTCCTCTCAAAAATGCCCCGTTTACACCCCTCCCTCTCCTCTTCTGGCACACTTATCCACGCCTTCATCACTTCCTGACTGGTCTACTGCAGCAGCATCCTCTATGGTACATCCAAAATCATCAACAAACTCCAATACAGGTAGAATTCAGCTGCCTGTCTTGGCCCCCCCCCCCCCCCCCCCCAATCCCGCATTCGGAGATCAAACACCACAGACCTTTAAAAGCTCCACTTGCGCCCCATACAGCAAATAATACAGTTCAAGATTTGTCACATACAGACCCCTTCACAACCAAGCCCACTTAAACCTCTTTGACATCAGCAGTAACGTTTGTTCACACTATTAAACTGTGTAATAAATAAACCTTTCACATTACTAATACATTTAATTTACACTTTTAAAATAGGTTATATTTTATTTGAATAGAATAATTGATACCTGCCGTTTGTGTGTTGATATGAAAAAGCGATGTATCAAAGTATCCGGATTGTTTTTTTCCTCCGCCCACATTAATTACCATCACGATCCGACTACAGACGTTCACTGCAAAACACTGGCATGCAAACCTGTTTGATTCCGTTGAATGACAAACTGAAAGAGTAACGTTACAATCAACTCAGTCAACATAAAAGCCATTTAACTGTGATTTCAGATTTGATATATATAAGATAAGATATTCCTTTATTAGTCCCACAATGGGGAAATTCACAATATAAAGAATATAATAAGGCAAAAAAGCTGTAAAGCTAGAAACATTAACTCAGAATAAAATGAATGAATGAATGAATACAGTTGTCTGGTTTATGGATAAACTCATCACTGTTTATAATAGTCCTCATTCACAAACCAGCCTCAGTGTTTCTGCTGCTTGCTAGTTTCCCAATGAAAGACCCGGGTGTCTCTTGGTTTTGGTTTTACAGCCCACCTCATCTGGACCTTTCCAGGTAAATGTGGTTCTGTGAAGAAATCAATTTCCCCTTGTGTACTTTAATGACGAGAAACCCGCTCTCTCCTGCTGCAGTCAGGCATACTGCTTACACGTACCAGGATGCACTGTGCATGCATTGCTTCAGATGAGTCAAGAAAATAAAGTCACAAAATTGGTAGTTGGGAAAATACGCCCGCGCTGCATGTCTACATGTCATGCGGCAGCTCTTTGGCAGCTTTCACACTTTCTTCAGGAGCAGACTATTCATTTAGAAAATCCAAAGACTAAAATCGCCCTGCTGGACTTCCCTGTCTTCTACACCTGATCTTCAGACTCCTGAAGTGGTCTCGATCGCATAGCTACAACAAGGAATATTTGTGCAGTATTGCGCCTCATAACTGCCCGAGCACTCTAGTAACGCGCTCTAGTTCTTCCTTATACCACTGGAACACAGTAGGGTGGAGAAAATAACTGTAGCCGAACCGAACCACACACCAGATGAAAAGAAACTTAATAGCAAGTTCACACAGTCGACTTCGCCGCTGCAATCACACAATACTCATCTCTCTCCAACACATTTCCAAAGCAACTTTGAGATTCTGGTAGTATTGTGGGTGGACGTTCCTCTAGGAGAGGCGCTGCTTTTGGTGACTCCTCACTGTTCTTATAAGAACAAAGCCATTAAACATTTTGAATTGATGGAACTATTTGTATTGATCACCACTAAAGGTCCTTTTTATCTGCCTCGTCACAGGTGTCTGACTTCCCAGAGGATCAGCTGTTGGTAGCCGTGTTCCCAGGAGTTCCAACCGCTGCCGAGCTCTTCCTGTTACCTCACAACAACCAATCACAGGGCAAGAAAAAGAGTGAGGAGGGACTTGAGCAGGTATATGGCATATATGGTAATATGGTATATTTGACATTAGAAATGAAATCACTATTTGCCTGTCAAACACCATCATTTGTTTGTGTTTAACAGGTATCCGATATAATTGTAAGCGCGCTGAACCAGAATCTGGTGGAGTTCGAGCTCAAGCCCGGTGTCAGGGTAATTGTGTACAACACACAGTTAACGCTGGGTAAGGAACATTTACTCTCGGCGCTTTCAGTACTGCCATTAGGTTATCAACCGTAATGATTAAACTCGCACAGACAATTTCAATAAAGCCTTTTCTTTACTGTTCTTCATTTTAAACTGACATGATAGCACTGTAAAAACCATGTTTTGACAATTAGTGTCTATGATCCACCATTTGAAATTCCTGTCACTGCTTCCTTTCCAGGCAGAAAAACACAGGGGAGTAAATGGGAGGGGGTTTGATTTCAGCTCCATGGGACGATCTTTTACGACTGCCATTAAAAGCTGAACATCTGTTCTGTTTCTTGAATCACCATCGAAGCACAACATGGGTGTTACACGGTGTATAATTATGTGGATTATTTAGTCCTTGAGAAAGAACACTGTACAAATTAAGGGGAGAACGGGAAGGTCGGTCGACATGCAAAAAAACTATAAAATGCTGTTGTAACTATCAAACCAGTGCTGGATTCATGGAGGCAAAATCATTGTAAAAAGCGTGGCTGGTCTGGACAGCTCTACTATTTTATTGTTATTGGTAGTCCTCGACAACTTCTGGGCAGATATACTTCCATTCTATCATTGCTGAGTCGCTTTGGAGGCACACAGCCAGCAGTTGTCTGCAGCTCAAAGTGCTGCGTATTAACTGTGTGGCATGTGCTGCTCTGTGACATTCTGTGGTGGGCTGCACTCTAATGGCATTGGAGGTGTACCCAGCTGGATCCCTCTTTATATTTCACCTCTCAAGAAAAGGTCTAAAAAGCCTTCAAGCTGCTTGAGAAAGGTCAGCAGCATACGCACCGATGTCTCTGAGCCGAAGGGCTAACACGGAATCACAGGAGAATGTTGTGAGATTCCCCTCCGAAGCCTGAAACATTGTAATAGCAAGTAAAGGTGGATGTGCTTCATTATCTAAATTATGAGAATCACTTGATGCTGTCCGCGTCTTTGTCCAGCAATGGAAACAGTCATTTAAAGCTTCCACAACATACGAACATTTGAGATTATTCTCCTGCAGGTTAAAAACGCACAAAAAGAGAGACTGCAACAATGAAGCATGTGTACTGACAGCAGAATGGTTTGTGGCCTTTGTCCGCTCTCTCAGCACCGTTGGTGGATTCTAACCCCAGACACAGCAGCTCGGCCATGCTGATGCTCCTCTCAGTGGTGTTCCTGGGCCTCGCTGTGTTCCTCATCTACAAATTCAAGAGGTACCCACCTGTGTGACGAGTTCCACCTGATGCACTTAGATCGCTGGTGTTTATATCTATTACCATGCCGTCCATTATTGATGATACCAGATGAGCACAGTTTGGACCAATCAATCAGGCGTGTCCGTATCTTTGATTTGACAAGTTCCCTCTATGCTGTAGACAGACTCCTAGCAGGATTCCAATGCATGAGGCTACACACAGCAATCAGCGCTAAAATGTGGGGAAAACCACCACCGTCGTTTAATATGCAGTTGCTGTGCCAAGGCTGTTATTTGCTGAATAAATTATTCATACTCAAAATGATTCTCTTGGAGAGTTGCAGGGAAATGGAAAAGCTGTCATTAATTATAGATATGAATTTTTTCCCATTAGTCTAAAGAGCATGCATTTTTCAAGAAATCTCACAGTTGACAAAACAGAGCAATTAATAACCAAAATGAATAGTAATTGGAAATAAATTAGATAGTGACTAAATAAAGATGTATATTAAGTGTTACAAATGCGGATGGGGAAAGATACGAATTGTCCTGTAATTTGCGTATAGATTAACTTGAAAGTGAGAAAGCCTGAGGCACTGCTGTCTTTGAGGTTTGTTTAGAAATGCAAGTTTTAAACAGGTTTGTCATCTCAAACGTACTTAGTTTGAGATGTGAAAGTAATGCCTTGAAAAATAGATCTGTGTATTTTGTAGCCACTAGATGGATTAGAATAATGTCTCGTGGCTCATTTTGTAATCTCTTCTTTTTAAATCCATAGAAAAATACCTTGGATAAATATATATGCTGAGGTGAACCAGGAGAAAGAGCAGGAGATGATTGGCTCGGTGGGCCAAGGCGACATCACGCCTAAAATCACACTGAGTGAGTTCTCCACATCCAAAGAGCTCACGGAGAAAGAACTGGATGCCAGGGTCAAACGTAAGTTAGAAGCTATCGCATTCAGCTGAAATCATCTGTGGAATCCCAACGTTTATACGCTGACATTACTTTAAGTTGTAAGAACTCTTACTTGAACATATATTTTTTCGGTCTGATGCAGTTCATTTGTTTCTTTTGACATTGAAGACGCTTTTAGAGTTAAAGTTAGAACAGGAAGAAAACGTGTGTAAATTCACCTCATCAATTTGCATTTTTAACTTAAGGGAGAGGAGAAAAGATAAAGTCCAGGTTGGGTGTTAACGTAGTGAAGGATAGATTCCAACAATAAATAATAAATAAAACCAATATCTTTAAGCACGCAGCCTTGGGAATCAATAAACCAGACTAGCACAGAGAGCTTAATTACATGATTAATTGATCTGGGTATGACTTATTGAAAAGGAATACTTCAGTAAAGAAAGAAGATAATAAATAAATCCAAGTAGGTTGGCCAGAGGCTCCGGACTGACCTTATGAAGCACGGCGCGTCCACCTTGGCCGCCGGCACAGATCATCTGGCAGGTGCAGTTCCTCACTCAACTCAGAGACGGCTCTGATTTCATTTGAATAATAATGAATAATTGGAACAGGTGTTAAAAACACCTAGATGATTAGTATTTTGTTTTATTTCCGGTTAATATTTACATTCAGCTAAATCCACGTTGTTCTGTTTTTGCATACAAGCTCTAATCATAGTTGTTGTACCAGTAGTCAGTTATGAAATCCTGCAGTAACACATTTTACAATCATTTAAAGAAATGTCCCTTTAATTTCATTACTCCCTTAATTTTTGGCAAATGCAGGGTAGACCTCTTTTTTTTTTTTTTACCTTTCACAATAAAAGCCCGAGATGTGTGCTAAGGCAAATGTTCAGCATATATCAGTCATTCATCCATCGCACCCCCTGGTTCGTAAAAGCTTTCGAAATGGTCCACTTTCATACTTAGATGCTTTTCCACAGCTGCATACACTTTGATAAAAGAACATTTAGGAATTAAATGAGCTCTCATTGTCAAAAAACATATTTATGTTACTGGATTCAAAGTGCCAACACAGAACTAACTGTTTTTTCTTTGCTTGTTTTTCTCCTTTGGTTCCATCCGTGTCCGCTCAGGAGGAGTTGGAACTGCCTGCGAGAGCACAAGGGAGATACCAAACTGTACTAGTGTGTAAAGGCGTACAGCAGCAGATTATGTAAAGAGCAAAGTATTAAAGTGTCGGGTTCTCTTTTTCTGTTTTGTAATTCTCAACACAGCTGATGTTAATAGTTTTCTAAGGGACCTCATTTATACAGACTTGCACGGATGCCTCATTCAACAGCATCCATGCAGCAAATGTCAAGTTACTCAATGAGATCATTGTAATTACTAGCAAACAATGTAATCAGTCGTGTGGATGTAAGTTACATAACGAGATTCCTTCGCAGACTGAAATATCTTTTATCATGAAGGTTGTGTACATTCCCTATGGAGTTTGCTTTGGAAATCATTTCTGTCTAAATCAAGACTGTAGTGTTGGAGTCTTGTTCTGTTCTCTCTGGACTCACTCTGTTAAATGTATATATTATTACTTCCTGAGGACTATGGCGACGACAGAGGTTCTGAGAATGGTTAATGGTTTGTTTTTTTGGAAAAGTGTAAGTCAAAAATCAGCTTTGTTTTTGCTAAGGTCCTTGACTTGTGCATGTTCTTCTTGAGGACACACTTTCTGTGTTGTAGATAAGCAAGTGTTGTAAATAGTTATTTTCTAATCATTCATCAGAAAAGCCAGATCGACTTTGCCTGGACTTCCGTATTGCTCTCATTTTCCTCATTTACTGTTGCGCAACGTGTATCTTGTAGGAAAGGGGTTTCATGTTAAACTGTGTATAAAACATAACTGAGATACGCCTGTATGAGTTATTATAAATATTTATTCTGAATTGTTTACCAGTGATCAAATTCACCAGTTATGCGAGAACCATGACATTCATTCCAATACCATGGTAGAAATCTCTTTTGTTGTTTAGGACTACAGGCATGAAGGCTATACATACTGCTTTTAAAATTCATTACATGGAATTCCAGCAGGGTAGGAATATTTTAACATTGCCCATGTTATACTGACTATAGAATATCTCATTATTTTGTCAACAATGTACCAGTAACTTGCAATGAACCCATGCGCGCAGCATTCCTCACCAGTCCTTTGAGGTGAAGGGTGTCCGCTTCGTGCAGCTTGGGGAGTGTTTTCTATTTCATGGCTTAAGTGGTCTGGTCAGCATTTACGCTAAGTGGAAAATCAAACTTCAATATTGTCTCTAAATATGATCATTGTAACATATGTATTCATTTGACCATCTCAAAAAATACACGCAGAGGATTGGGGCTGACATCGCTATCTGTCCCAACTCGAGGTCCGAGTCACTAAGATTGCCGTTAAGTTATTACAGAAAAACAAAAGCCTTTAACATTTTTTCAGCTCAGTGGAATCAGCCTGATTTTTTTGCGAATGATTTCATTAATTGTTGTGACAAAGTATTGATGTGCCGATGGTGGATGAAATGGTGAAAATATGAAGAACAATTTTCTAATTTTGAGGGTTTTTTTTTACCTTCAACGATCCCATAGCAGCGATAATGAAGAGATGTTTTGTGCATCTATGCCCGAGGCACAGTACCATACTTTTCATTATTTATATCAAGTTATGAAAATGACATAGCAGAGCTTTAATCATTTAGTTTTAATCACAGAACTCTCCCACATAATTAGGTCGGTGCATGAATTGAACAAACTTGAAGCTTGTCTCAAATTTCTCAGAAAACTCTTGAAATAAGAGAACGTAATTATTCCATAATAATTAACGCGTGTGGATTCATTCCTCCTGGCTCAGACTGTCCCCCGTCACAGGTTAGGCATTGGCTTTACGCCGGTTTATATTTACCTTTTCATTTCATCATTTTCATTATCAATCTATACGGAATGGGACAATGTTTGAGGGCGGATAACGCTTGCTAGTGATTGACTGTTCATAGTGCTGTCCATAATGTGTAACTGCAATGACTCCGAGCTCCTATCTTGGTGAATCTGACTTTTTCGGCCATGAGGCTCATTTGACTAGAAACGGGCACATTTTATGCCAAAAGTCTGCATGTAACTTTGTTTCAAAATGTGCAAATATGAAAAGGAGCAAATAGACGCTGTTTGCTTGGCAGCACAGTTAGGGAAGCATTTCACCCCCGGCAGGTGCTTTGAGAATTACAAGCCTTCTCTTTGTCTTTGCACAGATTTAGTGGCTTTAAAAGCCGTCCAATCCTTTTGTGAATTTTCCAAAAAGTGCACAAACGGAGCATTGCGTTTAGTTTGAAATGAGGGAGTATTGTTCCAGCATACAACTATCCATCAGGGCTGTGTTCTGCAGGACTACAAAAGCTGAGTGGCCTCAAAGTATCTAGCATGATGATGACCAGAGAAGCTGAACAGCTGAGCAGATGATGCCCTTTAGGGTGTCACATCACACACGCATTACCTCAAACAAAGGGTTCACATCTGAAACCGAACAGCCGAGCCAAGCCTTATTACTGCAGACAGAATATTCAGTGAAGAAAGATTGTTTTAAAAATGTTTGTGGTTTTCCACTCATGTCATGAGAAAAGTGTTTGGAGAAACAGTAAAAGAACTTTCAAACGTGTGTGCTTAGTGCAACTCAAATCATACTTTCATTGTTGTTTTTTCTCATTTTTTTGACCCTTTGACATTGTAAAGAATGTACGAGGACTACACTGGTTTATAGGCCTTAATGCTTCTTGCAGCTGTAGCAGGGTAAGAATTTTGAACTTTGTAAAAGGTCTGAAAAGAAAGTGGAGAATAGTTATTAAAAATGTTATACTTCATATCTGGTCAGAACTATTGAAACTGTTCCCAGTTAAAGACAATTTCCTCATTGTCGATTCAATCACCCTTTTTCATCATTGAAATTTCGGACTGGTAACTCAAATAAGAACCAGATTATTGGGAGGATCCTTAATTGAAAGAGATTATTGCTTTGGTCATAATTCAGAAGGCATAGTAATGTTCTTCATTGCACAAAAATCTACAATGCATGAATCATCAGTAATATTCGGTTTCAACTTTATTTCAATATTTCTACGGTAAGGAAACTGTCCCTTTGAAATTGTTTCAAATAAATGTATTTTTGTACATCAACACGTTTGTTCTCTGGGTCATGAAATATCTGAAGGGTGCAAAGAAGGTGACGCCCGCTGAATATGACACTGCTCGCATGAAAGCCGACTGAAAGCCCCGATGCCAATCAACAGAAGCTCACTGAGCGGTAAGAGAACCACTGGCTCTGCCAGAGCGGCTCCAACTGCAGCAACCAAAACGCTGTGCCGTTATTCCTCCCAGCTCTCACATAACACACACCAACCCTTCAGACAATGATAAGAATGATTATGTGTATGCACCATGGCTGTCGATAGATAATTAATTAATTAATTAGTTAATTAATCTCATTTGAAATTAATCACAATAAATAATTAGTTTTTCCTATAAACATTACATTAAAAAATTATGAGTAATCACTTTAGAAATTGTGTATTGTAGAAGTTTAATTGTATTTTTTTTTACTACTATAAGATCATTTTGGAGACACAATTCCACTTCCATTTACACAATTGAAGTGACGACAATCTACCTACATCTCCCAGGACGTTTTCAAACCGCAGTCTTTTGACACAGTGGTAGTCCTCTGCAGGGTAGACGTTAGTAGCCTAGCAACTAGGGTTGCCACCCGTCTCTTAAAATACAGAATCGTCCTGTATTCGAGAATGAAATAACGCATCCCGTTTTAAATCAATATGGGACGGAGTTTGTCCCGTATTTTATGAGTTGTCGTCAATGCGGCATCCTATTTGGCCCCGTTTTGGGTAATACTCGCTGCCATCGTTGGTTTGATTGGCCGTGAACCTGAAATAAACCATTCAGAGCCAGAGGGGCGGGACTCCGAGAGAGTGTCGGTTTGAAAGAATGGCGGGGGCAGCTCCTGAGCACCCACCCCCCCCCCCCCCAGCTGCCCCCGCCATTCTGGTGGCAACCATACTAGTAGCTTAACCTAGCCGCTAGTTTAGCATAGCAGTGCATGAAGTGGTCCGTTTGCCACTAACACGCCTTCTGATTGATAAACAAAGTCGCGCTGAGTGCATTAAAAGTTTTTTTTATTATTCGCAGCCACAATAATTTCAGAGATTAACGTGTTAACTTTGACAATATTAGTATTTACCAACCTTTCCATTTTTTAAAGTTCTTTATAAAGATAACAGGCCACTTTTGCCCATACTCTGATAAAGTTGTTTTACCCTGCATTAACCAGTTGACATTGTGCCTTTCTGGATGCACAGTTCGATCATACATGATATTAAACGTGCCAGCTTTAACAAGCTAACAAATCCTGTCCTGCATACATGATGTTAAACAGCGAACCAATTTCAGTGGAAAAGCTTTTGTGACATGTATCATTTTGATATAAATATTTTATAAAAGGACTGGCAGTCACTAGCAATGCTGACAGTTCAGGAGGAAAAACATGATTTAATATTAATTGGTAAGTCAATTGAATTATTGACATGCTCAATTAAGGCACTCTTTTCAGGGCATTCGTGCCCACATGGTCTCCAACCAAACAAACTGCTTTTGGGTCACCCATATTAAGTATTTCTATGCATAATTCAGTGATGATTTATTAATTATTTTGTCAGGAAAATATTTAAATAAATAGCTCATTTTAGGATTACTATAATTATTTAGTGCTTACATCTGGTGATGTAAATGTGTAAAATATTTAGCAAACTAGAATTTCCTCATAAGCTAGAGGTGACCAAAAAAAAGTGAAGTCACAATAAACATTACTCATATCATAGATAATAAGTCAATATCCTGTTTATGTCCCAGGTAATCAAAAAAACAATTAAGCAGGCATTAGTTCATGCAAAATCATATATTGTGTGCTGTTTCCTGACTTGTAAATGTAAAATGAATGTAAATAATGCATGGGCCAATCACTTCACTAAGGGTTGGGGTCAGGTGTTGTTGAGCATTGGTCAAATGCTCTCAGCAGACAGGAGATGACTGTAATTCCTTATCATTGGAAAAAGGAGGAACGTAAAATCTCAATTTAAGCAACACAGCCGTCAGCTCTTTGCTGAATATTACAATAATTAAACTATGCGTGTGTCATGGTCAGGCTTTCACCGTTTAGGCAATGGCAGCAGTTACAGCAACTTTTGAATGGACTTATTATTCCCAGAGTGATGGTCTTACACCTGAGAAGTAAAATCTTTTTGGCTATTAGATTTTATGGCTCCTGCTGAAAAATCCTACATGCAAAAAGCAAAGTGAGTGAAAGTGATCAGAATGTTTGGCACTTTATGTGTCAGGATATAGGGGAACCCCTGTGAGCTTTCTGATGTGTAACAATCTGTTTATATCTTACTGGTAAAGAAATAAATCCATATAATATTCACTTGAAACACTACTGAAAACTCTCTGGAAGAGGCTTTTATGAAGACCTCACGGCAGAAAAACAACAGGAGGCCAAATCTGGATTCTTGCCATCCGGTTCTAGTTCGAATGGTTCAACCACTTCGACAATCATCCGACAAACACCATGCGGAAAAGACCAACAGCTTCCCATAGCCAAAATGGAAAAAGGGTAAAATGACAATGGAGTGACGATTGGCTGATGGAAACCCCCCCTCAACACCCAAACCCCTAAACCCTGTGAGCATATCGCTTAAATTGCTTGCTGGGCAGTAGGAGCCAAACCTTTAAAACGTCTTGAAAATGTTGTAGTCAAAGTTAAAAAAAAATAGCCTATAAACAATCTAGTCCACGAACAAAAGCCATTTGTCTTTATTCACTAAGGGAGTCTTCAGCAGCCGGGTCAAAGTCGGTTTCCGCTGACAATGTTAGTTTCTCTGTGGTTTGATTTGTTAAGGTGCATTAGAACGGAAGTCAGTTTCAGGAGAGACTATAAATGTACACATTAATATTTAAAGGAAAGCAAACTTCCTCCCTGCGCAGGAGGCCCTGATTAACACATTAACTAAGTAGGCATAATGCTAGTTTTAGCATTTCTTTTTAATTCCTGACTCGCTGGTGTGCGACACGAACCCAAGCGACTTCTGAGGAACGAGCTGGAGAACTTCTTCGACCAGGTGAGACCCGAGGCTTGACAGTGGACGGCAGGAGTGTAGAGAAGTGAGCTCTCACAGGGTGAATCACTGTGTTACTCCTTCCAACACAGCAGAACGAGGAGTACATATACAGTAGCTGTCGGAGCTTGTTCACAGTCTCTGGACCGATTGTCCCTCGCCAAGCAAGACTGATAGAAAATGTATTAGTTTATCGTGAATAACTAAACGATATTCAGTATTAAAATGCTGCTTTTAGACAGGTAGAATGAAGAAGAGCTTAATAAATCAGTCCCCCAACCAAAGCTGCTCTCAGGTGCGTGAATCACCAGGATGAAATGCCCAGGTGAGCTACCCCCTCCTTTTATAGGCCGTGCCCCTTAACCTGGGTCCTGGGCCACCCTTCACCTACCTTCGATGATGGAAGATGAGACACAGCTGCGCCAGCGGGACTCAAAAGACACTACTGGGGACACAGAAACAACACACAAGCACATGGCAAGACAATAACAAACTGACAGGGGACAAGCGGGCAAACAGAGGGTTACATATAAATCCTCACATGACCAAGCGTATACATGCGTTTTCTGGCACAGGTCTGATTTCAGAGCAAAAGGGGGGTGATGCATATTGAATTTCTGTGATAATAATCAATTTATTACATCCCAAAATCCTATTTGGAGAAGAGCACATTACGTACACAAAGGCACTTAGTGAGATCAAAAGCTCTTTGCTTATTCAAGAGCCCCACTAAGCCAGCAAGGCACACTGCAGGGCCACCTTTGACCTCTGTAACGTCATCATAATAAACAGCTTTCACACCCAATTAACTAACTTCACAGAGAGGAACCTTTGCTTCCCTCTGCAGCACTTACCATACGGACAACATATGAGCAATGATACTCAGCCCCACAAATTATAACATTCTCTCTATGTATTAAAGAATTTAAGTAATCATCTCATTCTCACAATTTAAACGAAGAAAATAACTAAACCGATCTCCATGCACATTTTTTATACTCGCGGATTGAAATCATTGATATTCCTAACCTGCCCCAAGTCGGAGCTGTATGTGAGGCCAGCATTTTTGAGTCTAGGGCTGTGATGAATTCAGAGCCAGAGAGCCAGACAATTCTGTCTGTATTGAGCAGAAATATGTTTGAAAGCCTCAACGGTGATGCTCACTGTGTCTACAGCTCACAGCTTTGTTGAGAGTGGCTGACTAAAGGACAGCCGGCCCATCCAGTACTTTCTCTTCTGACCAACCGGCAATAAACCGTTTGTGTTGTGTGTGTCAGTCAGCGAGAAACGCATTCGAAGCGATGCAGGAAACAAGGGCTAAACTAAACACAAATAGTGTGCCCACTTCACTAACGCACACCACCCTGCCGTAAACATGTGATGCCTGTGAAAGTGGTGGCCAACACATCGTCACTCCCAACTCATGACAAATGATCTGATCTTCTCTCTGATGATCTTGTTTACATGTGAAAGTCATATTGAGTAATCAGTCATGAGTTTCATGAACAGTTAAATGTTCCTTGAACATACTTTAACCACCAAAGATTCAACAACAACTGACCCCGCATTCACGATGGGTAAAACAGTGTGTTATGTGGGTCCCTGCCTCATAGTTTATTATTTTAAGAGCTAAAGTAAATGTATCAATGCGAGACCAAGCTTACAACACTGTAGCTACAGGGTGGTGAATATCAGTAAGCTTAGGACGAAACAACCTGTCTTGTGGTAGTTAGTTCAATCTAACGGGTGCAGCCTCAGAGAAGGAGACGCTGCTGTGAATAGAAGGTCACAGAGGCCAATTAGAGGGTTGTGCAAGGTTGCAAAGATGAGTTAGGCAGATAAATCAGATGCTAAGGGTGGATCATCAATATGATTGCTCTATCTTGATAATAATTTAGATATTAGGATTAGCACTATCCATTAAAATAACCTATTAAAAGATAAGTATACAGGATGCTGGGGCTAAGCTTGATTACTTTTAAGAAGGCTTTTCAA